CAGTTTGCAGGCAAGACCAAATTGTTACAAACGATACAATTTCCAGTGTAGTAAATTACTCAGCTGGGTTGATAATTTATAAGATATGGATGTAGATGGTTTTAGTCAGTTTCACAGTTGGCGCGCTTCATGAAAGTTGAGTTGTGACGCGCAACTGATGGTCGATAACAGATTCACAAGAAGTTGGCGGCTTCTACAAATCGCAATCTTATATCCCATTGGAATATCTAAGGCTTTAGGGATGGTGCAGGACGAAGCCACCCGTTCCGTATCTCAAGGGGGCTAGAAAAATTGTACAAGAAAACAAAGAAGGACGAGAAGCAGAGCAGACAATGCTCATGAAGAAATAGTTAAGGTATGACTAATCAGTCTCATTCACTTTTAATAAAGTAATTATTAAGCAGGAGCACTCTAATAGGTTAAAGAAAATAAGTGTAGACAAGGTATGAGAGAATAAACAGCTGACAAATGAAGGTGGTTCATCAGAGGCAAATTATCATTTTGGCTTCCTCACTCTCTAGATACTACTAGATGTTTTTAATTTGCCAAACTCCGTGACCCAATGGACGATTATCTTTCCGGAGTACAACGTATTGTTCAACCTTTGTCTGGGACTGCTCGAAAGTATATTATTAGCTGACTTGGCAAAGTATTTAAGCTCTAGTCAGTTTCCGAGAGCTTTGCTGATTTATTTCAGTTTATTTATAAATAGTTCTGTTGATGCACTGGTGAAAGCTAAACTTCGGTAGTTAAGGGCCATTCGATAACCTTCAATTAGGATTAAAGCACTCTAAGTGAAACGGCTATTCATATCTTCGTTTTGTGCGGGCATTACATCCCCTATTTTTACATACTGAATGACGAAATGGTTGTTTTGAATTATGGGTTTCGTGTTGCAGTTGCTCGACTTGTTGCGTAATAGCTGCGTAACGGTAGGCAAATACAAATCACGCATAGACTCTACCTCATTGATAAAGCATTTTTTACTTCATGGAAAATGATATTCAAGAATATCAGTCAATCAACTCTATCGTCGTCAGGAGAAATATCTTGGACCAACTGCCACTAAATTAGTATTGGCGAATATTCTACGCTTGATTTCGTTGACACGCAAAATGTGAAGCCACTCATTCATAACAACAGCTTCTGGACCACTATGACAGGCTAACTCGTATTTCAACGTTGTCAGCACCTTCTGTTTAAATTTAGACAACATATACAAAAGTCATAGATGCAAGAAAGATAAACAAACTTAAATTAAAATTTTCAGTGGAAAACTGGGAAGAAATATGACCGTCAATTGAATAACAAGACGTATTGGAAAAATTTAATGTCGACAGAGAAATCTCAGGGATAGAAGAAGGGCAACCGAAGAAATATATTAGTATATAAACATAAATAATAACTTACTTCTAGTGAAAAGTTAAGCGCAGTTCAATGAAGATGAATGGTCGAGAATTGTGACTTTGTATTCAAAGAGATGAAAATATTGGTGCCATACGTAATGTAATCATACACGTCTATACACCAATCCATTCTCATTCTGCCAGCAGATATCAATTTTGATGTTTCACGACTCAATCAACCTAATAGTTGGATTCATGAGTCAATTAAAACTAGGCCACAGTGGAGAACCTGGAAGCACTGGATGACGGCATCGTTCTGGAGTGGAACTCCTTAGCAGTGTGCACCCACAAACCTGTACGCGGGACCCGAACCCAGAACCTTCAGTCTTGCGGGCGAACGTTTAAAAGTCCCATACTAAAGCGAAACGACTGTCGATTCTTCCAAATTTTTCAAGGTGGTCTAGTTTCAACTGACTCACAAGTTCAACTGTTAAAAATTTACTACAATATCCACAAATCTCAATTCTGATCAATCAACTTAGTTCATTAATTCCTTTGATCTGAACTATTTATAAAGCCGGGTCTCAAATGAAGCATGTACACAAATTTACATCTGCGGAAGCATTTTGAAGCTACAGTACCATAAAAACACTGATAGTGCCAATTAAACGTGATAGTTCGTGTTTGTCCTTGTTGGTCGCTAGTATGGCTAGAGCGTAATGCCGCCTAAGTTTTATGAATAATGGGCCAGTGATTTATGGATTAAGTTGTCAGGGAGAAAAATCCACGATTCTTCTAGCGAATGGCGAATTTGAATGATTTCACAGTGTTAAAATATTCAGTAACACCCAACTATGACACCGGCCACAATAGTTTAGTGTTCAGCACTAACATGAAAAAACGGGACGATTAGTTTTTTAGGGCCAGAAGAGCAAACGCTATCTATTACAGTCAATGATTTTATCAAGTCTGTGGCAATACAAAAAATGAATCTTCTCATTGTTGGGTTGCGATGCTTCAGAAAATTCACCCACTGAAGTAATATTCTGCAACCGTCAGTTCTTGAATTTTAAATGAGTGGATTTCAGATCACTCAAGTAGTGTTTTTACATCGATATCCTTTACAGGAACCTTTGCTCAGAAGTACAGTAAGACTTTGGGCGGTTATCGTGCATGTCAAAATATTTACGGAAAGATGATCGCGGATATAATCGCAGGTTGGAGTTAAAGTCGGTAATAGAAAAACATCTTTGCCAACTCTTTTTTCATGTTACAGACTCCGAGGAAAGTGAGCTCAATCGGTAGTTCGGTCTGCTCAAAAATATCTGAGCAAATACAAAGATTGAAGTTCTACGACTAAGGACGGATTGATTCCATTAGATGGATATCTGGGCCGTGGCATATATCGTCTGAAGACCAACCAGGGGTATTTTCTCAAAGCAAGCACCTAGATACAAATTTTATACCTTAAAATAACTTTGTGCAGGATTTACACAAATACTGGTAGGTGTCCGACAAGTATTAGAAACGTTCAATAAACAAGGTAAATTTGACATGACGACAGTATATATACAAACAACCGGTTCCTTGTTTCCTACAGAGTCTTAGATTGCCTTCGATTATTTGGCAAAAGTAGATGTATAAAGGTGATCCAAAGAACGGTCTTAATAAGCGAAGATGGACATCGGCTAGCAGTGAAACCCAGGACTTGCCCTCCGTCCTATTTGGAACTCGTCAGCTGGATGTATCTGTATCTCAGATTTGATGTCTACAGTCTATTTTGTTATATTGTGACTCTAATTTCTGTCTGTTACCCCTAAGATTTGAGTTAGAACTGAGCTTAATTAGGTATTTTATGGTGCACATGGCGAGTTTATCAAATAAATGGATGAGCTGTGTGAACCAAGTAGTGCTAATAATACATAACTGATAGGAATATGTGAAACATGGATACCCTCTCAATTCATTGATCAGGAGCTGGCAGTACCTGGTATGTCTTTGTTTTGAGACGACATGAAAGCAGAAATAGAGAGCAAAATAGCCTTTTACCTGTGAGTTTCCCTGGAAGTACATCAACTGCACAGCCAAGAGTTTATCAGTGTTGATGTATGCGAATGGTGCTCAGTAATATTGTCTTACATCTCAAGGTATCTAGTTGGAGTCACCTACAGGAAGCCCACCGCTGACATGGAGCACGAGCAACCACAAAAATATAAGGAACATATCCACGAAGGCTATAAGAGAAGACAGGCTTCAGTAGCAGGTAAAGCTTATGGATAAACTCATTTCCGATTCGAAAAGCTTATTCCGTTACCCAGCCTTTCTTCGTCAAGCCAAAACTGGAGTTTCTCAACTGCTCGGTCCTAACGGGTTGGCCGACAACGACGGCGACGCCGCTAACTTTCTGGCTGAGCAATACTTCCGGACATTTCATCCGACCCACATCAACTATACTGATGAAAGCTTCATCTACAACTACACAGGACTTTCCTTAATGAACCTGAGCGCTGACTTGGTGCTCCGAAAACTACAGCACCTAAGAACAGATACTTCCCCTGGTCCAGGTATGGTCTATTCTGCTATACTGAGGGAAGCAGGTCAGGGTTAACTTCAGTTTCTCTCAGGCTATGTAATGTCCTGGTGGGGTCCTCCAGAGTTCAGTACTATATCCTCTTTTATTCTTGACTTATGCAAACGATCTTCCACAGCAGGTGTCGTCAGATTTACCACTTTTCGCCAATGATGTGAAACTTTGATGGAAAGTACGCAACCAAGGGGATAAACTGGCACTTCAGGAGGATCTGACTGAACTTCAAAGTTGGGCAGATGATAACGGACTTACCGTTAACACTTCAAAATGTAAAATAGTTCACCTGAGACATGTTGCAGACTGCGGTTACAACTTGGGTGACTCAACTCTAGAAAGATCTGGGAGTGTTGAAACTCTGTTGTCTGAAGTCTTACGTTAACTGCGACAAAAATGCCATTCGAGCAAACTCTGCACTGATAACGTTGAAGCGCATTTTCGGCCAGCTCGGCGGAAGAACTTTCCACATAGTCTTACAGGTGACCTAATTACTTACAGCATCCCTAACACTTTTGGGCATTCCCTTAAACATCAACTTAAGCTTAGTCCTAACGCAAAACTTGGAGATAAAATTCAGAAACTGGAGACACAACTCAGCAGAACAGAATATAGACACAACTTCTATTCCTTGAGAGTAGTCATGCACTGGAATTCGCTGCAGGCTGAGCTAGCACAAGCGACTTGTCAGGAGTCCTTTAAGAGAAAACTTAACATATCCTTAAAGACTAAGGACAGTGTCTTTTTCCTCTTTTATCGATAATACACTTAGGTTCCTGCCTGGATGTATCGGTGATCCACAGCTACTAGATACGGAAGGAAGTTAAGAGAAAGCTTCTTCTATCCCATCCAGAACCTTTTGAATAATCTGAACCATTTGAGAGCATTTAGAAAATACATACTAGTAAGATCAATAAACCTACAGTTCCCAAAATGCGTCATAATATTCTGTGCTGTCATTTACAAGAACCAAAACAAACAAAATTGTCTGTTACCTTACTCATGAAAATTGGATGAAAAATCTCTTGTTAAATCTCGTTGACTCTCAGTCACCGCCTTGTTTGACTATAATGTCGTTGCTTGGGTAGGTCCTATTTTCGGTAAATTGTTACCGTTCCACGCCACTGAAACCCCTTTGAGGAAGTATAAGTGCCTGATTATTACTCCATACTGACACATAAAGTGTTTATTTCACGAGGTTCGGGCCTCGTGCTCCATGAGGGGTTCTCCTGACGTTCAACAACATAAATAGTATCCCAGAAATTTGCTTGTCAGAGTATTTCCTAAATATGTTTCATGTCATAAGATGTTCAGAGCTCTAGTTTTCCGTAGTGCACATCATTATCTGATCTTATTCATAAAAAGCAGTTCAAATCATGCAAATACGTACTTGCATAGTGCCATGAAATTCCAGTCGCTTCGAATTTCTTCTTTAGTCACGATTATTTCGTCTTGAATTAATAAACTAGGTTTGCTCAGATGCATGCCTATCTTCGTTATGTCGAATGTTTTGAGTAAGTGGAGTTCTTGTTCCAACTATCCAACTAAACAAGCATGCATAAAATGAGTTATTTAATTAGTAATTCAAAAGCTTGTAAGAGACCGAGACCTTTATAGCTCTGAAAGTAAATTAACGCTAATATATAATTTTGGCGGTTGCATTTTTGTTTCGCTTGATTTCTAGCTATGATCGATAAACGTTTAGTGGTTTACATTATAAATTACTAAGTAGATTGTTTGCTACCTTGACGTGGTAGTCGGGCTTGCCTATCGTGATGAAGCAACTGAGCTATACTGGCTGGAACAACCGTTCATCAAGGTCCTACCATGCCAGACAGGTCGGTTGAAGAGCGGTAAGACTAAATCCAACAAAACCAAGGTCCGAAGGCGAAGTCGTACTGCTGACTGTACAGAGGTGTGACAGAAGTAAGGTGTTTCCTTCAGACAACCAGCATGACAGCGATGCTGCCTTCCCACAAGGAGGGGTGGGGTTAGAAAAGGTCAACCCTAAAAATGCACACCTCGCCTTATCCCACGGATATCCGTCTCCGGCGGTAAGGTCTCAACAAGTACGGAGCTAACACAAAAATTACTCATAAAAAGGTCGTGTGTGACCGACCTCAAGCAGCTGTCCCTTGGGCACTGCGGTCACGCTCTCAGGTCACTATGACCACCTCTAGTCCAATTTCCTTTTCAGGTACCTCCAGAAGAACCCTTCCACGGTGTGGGCAACCGGGAAGTGATAACCGCCCTCATACCTGTAACAGCACTCAAGACCACTGTATTCATAATCAACCTACCTCTTCAATTCCTATTATTCCACCTACATCGACTTTCAAATCTAAATTTTCTCTTTTGACTTCCTCCTCAAGTGTCACCACAGCCAACGATTCTAGTGCGCAAAACACTGTCCCAAGTCTACTGAAACCTCGCTCCAAACTACACATTGGAGCCTTCAACGTACACACACTATGCCAAATCGGTCAGCAGGCTTCCTTGGCTAAAACCTTAGAATCTCGTACGATTGATGCATGCTGTGTCTCCGAAACACGCATACAGGATCCTAGCGTGGTCATTCACTTGACATCACCTCGGCAAAACAAAGAGCCGACGAGATACACCCTCCGTGTATCTGGCGACCCGATGGCTAGTTCTCGTGGACTGGCAGGTGTAGGCATAGCACTAAGCATGAGGGCGGAACAAGCGCTATTAGAGTGGACCCCCGTAAACAGTCGTTTCTGTGCTGTTCGGCCAAACGGCTCGATAAGAACTCGGAAGGATAGGGACACACGTCGTTGCCTTTTCGTCGTTTCTGCCTACGCTCCCACTGACTGCAGTTTGGATGAAGTGAAAGATGAATTTTACAGAAAACTCTGAACTTCTTCAGAATACTAAACGTTCAGATATAGTACTCGTATCAGGTGACTTTAATGCCCAGGTAGGTAGCTTAAACGAAACAGAAAGACATTTGGGTGGGTATTTTAGTATTCCGGCACAGCGAACAGATAATGGTGATCGTCTGCTGCAACTGTGCTCAGACAATCGTTTATTTTTAGCAAACACAAATTTTAAGCATAAGGAGAGACATCGTCTAACATGGCGACCCCCTGCACCAAACCAACGATGGACTCAAATAGACCATATTGCCATCAGTCATCGTTGGAGAGAGTCGATAGAAGATTGTCGCTCATTCTGGAGTACCTATTTGGACTCCGACCATGCCCTAATACGAGCACGCATCTGCTTGCGCCTCACTGGACGCAAAAAAGCCACATTAGAAAGACTCATTAGAACCGAATTGAGTATTGAGAAAACCAAAAGTAGGTTCCAGGAACAACTGAGGTCACACTTAGGTAGTTCTGAAAACGAGGCTGACCCCGATGTTGATTGGAAAGACATACAAGCAGCTGTGGAAACAGCAGTGACATCTACTAGTGATTTAAACCACAGGGTTACAAAGAACCAGTAGATTTCTTCAAGGTCTATTGCACTGATAGATTCTCGTAAACTCATCCCATCAGGTTCTGAACACGATGAAGAGCGTAAAGAAATCAGATCTAGATTAAGCAAAAGTCTAAGGAACGATCGTGAGCAGTGGTGGGCAACGAAAGCAAAAGAGATGGAAAAGGCGGTGGCTATAGGGAACACAAGACAACTCTACAGACTAATAAAAGAAACTAGAATTAATAATGCCCTAGTACGGCCGAGAGTGGGGAGAGTCGCTCTCCCTCTCGAAATGCTCTCACATGGCCATGCGTATATAGCCTCTGCCAGGGAAGTCCTACTCACTGCCTTCTCGTGGCGGGGTTGTTGTTTACGAAAATGAGAGGACGAAGAGCGAATGTCCGGCGCTTTAACCGGATCCCAAACCAATGGTGCACATGGGCTCCAGTATCCTGATGGAACAAACGGCGTATGAACCAATCGTTGGTCACCGGCTACCATGGGACTGCATCTCCTCACGATGCTTCACTGCCTTGTGGGTCAGATATTCAGGTCGAAGGCTCGGGGTGTGGCCCTCTAAGAAAACCACCTGCTTCGGTTTAGGCACCCGGGCAGTATCACAGCCCTCACATATATCAATTGAGATTTGTGTGGCGCATATGTATTTGGTGCCTCCTTTTACCAATATCTATGTGTTAAAATAAAATAATAAATAATAATTTCGGAAAAAACGAAACTCTCATCTGCTTGCAGTCCAGACGTTAAGAACGATGGGCGGAACACTTTAAGGAGCAGTTTAGTTGGCTTTCAGCTACTCTACAACTACCCTCTATTCCCAGACAGTATGGATGGAACATTGAAGTAGGTCCTCCAACTCTAGCTGAAGTTCAAAAGGCTATAGTTAATCTAAAACGAGGAAGGGCAGCTGGTTCAGATGGATTGGCCCGAGGTCTTTAAGGATGGTGGTCTAGTTTTAGCGATTAGGTTGACTAATATTTTAGCTAAAATCTGGGAGTTAGACGTTATCCCATCCAACTGGTCACAATCACTTATCGTCCCAATATTTAAGAAAGGGTCAAAATCATCCTGTGACAACCACAGAGGGATTAGTTTATCTAATATAATATCTAAAATACTAGGTTCGACAATTTTCGGACGCCTAACTAAGACTCGTGAGCTGCAAACACGAGAGAATCAAGCTGGCTTCAGACCTGGTCGTGGCTGCATAGACCACATATTCACCATTCGTCAGGTTCTAGAACACAGGCATACTTATCGGCGCCCAACAATGGTGGTCTTCCTTGACTTAAATGCAGCGTTTGACTCTGTGGACCGAGAGGTTCTGTGGCAGTGCCTGTCATTGAAAGGCGTACCTCAGAAGTACATAAACCTTGTGAAGGCTCTTTACTCGAATACTACTAGTCGAGTCAGAGCTTATGGCGAACTGTCATCTGCTTTTTCAACCTCAAGTGGCGTCCGTCAAGGCTGTCCACTTTCTCCATTTTTGTTTAACTTCATCATAGATCTACTGATGGAAATAACACTCTCATCGACTGAATTCTCGGGTATTGATCTCCTACCAGGAGGTCCACTTATTGACTTAGAATACGCAGATGACATAGTCCTGTTTGGTGAAGACGCTGATGAAATGCAGTCTTTTCGTAGCACTGAGCAACAATGCCAGAATGTTTGGAATGCGCTTCTCTCCCTCTAAATGAAAGTTGTTACTTCACAACTGGTCTGCGTCAACACCTGGACTAAGGATAGGGGGTGAAGTAGTCGAACGCGTCGACAACTTCACTTATCTTGGAAGTCTGACCAGCCCTAATGGGTTGGTGTCCGACGAAATCTCAGCACGGATTCGAAAAGCTCGCTTGGCCTTTGCCAACTTACATCATCTATGGCGAAGGTGAGATATCCGTCTATCAATTAAGGGACGAGTATACTGCGCGGCAGTTCGTTCCGTTCTACTATACGGCTGCGAAACATGGCCTTTAAGAGTAGAAGATATTCGTAAGTTACTAGTATTTGACCACAGGTGCCTTAGAAATATTGCTCGCATCTGCTGGGATCACCGGGTGAGTAATAGTGAGGTTAGACGCAGGGTATTAGGGAATGATGGTAAATCAGTTGATGAGGTTATGAATCTTCATTGACTGAGATGGTTGGGCCACGTGCTGCGTATGCCTGAACACCGATTACCACGGCGCGCAATGCTAACCGGTGTTAGGGATGATTGGAAGAAAGTTAGGGGCGGCCAAACCAAAACGTGGCATCAGTGTTTGAAGTCACTAACTTCTGGTCTGAGCCATGTTGGTAGATGCAGACTGCCTGGTTGGGGTGTGCGTGACTATCGTAACCGATGGTTGGAGATTCTTGGTGACATGGCTCAGAATCGATCACAATGGCGTCGGTGTATACACTCTCTGTCTTCCTTTAAACTAAGAGATTAAAATCACTTCAAATCCTTCTTTCTAGGAACTAATTCTTTCTTCCTGTACTATCTCCTTATACACACTCTTTCTTCTATATATTACCACCACTGAATTAACTACTTCTATGAATCCAGTGTTCATCTTGTTGTGCTAATGCGGTATGGCAACTTGGACCGATGCATATACGTGCCTGATCCTACGTTTCAGCTGACTGACTGACTGAGATTGTTTGCAGTTAGTGTAGATAACTATTGGTCAACTTTTTCGCCCCTCAAAATATCAACGTTGTTGACGTTCCAGTCACGGGCTATGTTGGCGTAATATTCCAGATGTCTTTTTAGATAACATTTACTGAACCAATCCAGCCGCAGAAATATTTCGGACGGTTCCAAAATCGACTTAAACAAAGCAAGTACTTGTATACGTTACCATCAATAACATGTTTTTTTGTGGATTTTTATCTTGTTCTAGTTTAAATGTCACGAATGAGCTGTTCGATTGCTAAGCCTACAGGGTTAAATTTATTGTTTCTTCAAAGAATTTCCCTAATCATCTAGAACGAAAATTTTGTGTAATATCAGTGTATGCAATGAAACTTTATATCTGTAAGTATGAAATGCTTGATAATTATAGTTGCACAGTGCTTTTACACTCCCCAACAAGTAAATAACTACCCACTGGTGCTCGCATTACAACATTATGTCCGTTATGTTTAAAAGTTTTGCTAATAAATCTTACGGATTCAGTCATTAATGCCAGATAGTTTGTAAGTACATGAATACTTCCAAGAAAATGTTCGCGTAAACTAATATGTTTGCTAAGGGGTTGGAAAAGTTTAACCGTAGGATAATCATGTTTTTGGAACTTCATTCAATGTGTTTTTAGACAACTCCCAGCTCCAATTCAAAAGGGTTCAGATGACTATGGAACTGCTTTAAACTTAAATGTGGGTTCAAGAGTCCTCGTTGCAAAGTCAACCATCCCACCATACGGACATCGAAAAAACTGGGTACCACGCAATCAGGAGGATTTTTTAGATGGAGGGGCGTTCCCAGAAATACATGTCCCTCAATATCCTCTTGGGATGGGACAGGAGAAAAATGTATCGAATGCATTGGTTATAAAGACTGATAAAGATGGAAGAATCAGATATGATGAACTTGTTCGTCAAGGACACAGCAAAGACAGGATCATCTATTCAAAGTTTTCAGACTTACTACCTAAACCGATTGACGATGACGATCCAGAATTGAACAAACCAAGTCAAGAAACTATCGAAGAGGTAGATTTTCTATTTTTATTGATTTTGTTAGACAACGGAAAAAACACGTAGAGCTCTAGAATCATTAGTTGAAATGAAAGTTGCTGCTGCAGCACCTGTACGCCGAGCTGAGAAAACAAATCCTGCTGAATATATACGTTATACGCCATCGCAACAAGGTGCTGCTTTCAATAGTGGAGCTAAACAACGCCTCGTCAGGATGGTGGAAATGCAGAAAGATCCCATGGAACCTCCTAAGTTCAAGTAAGTTCCGATGTTTCAAAGTTTTATTTTTTCAGAATTAACCAAAAGATTCCTCGCGGGCCCCCTTCTCCCCCACCACCTCTGATGCATTCTCCGGCACGGAAAGTTACAGTTAAAGAACAACAAGACTGGAAAATTCCCCCATGTATTTCAAATTGGAAGAATCCCAGGGGATATACCATTCCGTTAGACAAACGGGTTGCTGCAGATGGCCGTGGTCTTCAAACTGTTCATATTAATGAGAACTTTGCAAAACTAGCAGAAGCACTTTATACGGCCGACAGAAAGGCTCGTGAGGCCGTAGAAATGAGAGCGCAAATTGAAAGAAAAGTTGCTCAGAAGGAAAAGGAACGAAAAGAGGAGCAACTCCAAAGAATCGCTCAGCAGGCTCGTGAATCTCGGGCTGGTCTTCGTCGTCCTGGCGCAATTGAAGGTGGAGACAATGATCCGGGACTAATTGACCGAGAAGAATTAAGGCGTGATCGTGCACGAGACCGTGCTAGAGAAAGAAATTTAGCTCGTTCTAACAATGAAGCCAAGGCTAAGATTGAAAAGGACAAAGAGCGAGACATCAGCGAACAAATTGCACTTGGACTTCCGAATCCGCGTTTTAACTCAACAAACGAGAGCCTATTCGATCAAAGACTTTTCAATCAATCTAAAGGTTTAGACTCGGGTTTTGAAGGAGGTAAGTAATCATATCAACCATCTACTATTTTTTAGGTGCGGATGATTTATACAACATTTATGATAAGCCATGGAGAGGTGATTCTGAATTAGTAACTCATATATACCGCCCACGCCAAAAAGATACTGATGCATATGGGACAGACCTTGATGCACTTAAGAAGACTAAACGCTTTGTTCCTGATCGTGAATTTTCTGGAACTGATCATTCACGTCGTTTAGATGGTCCAGTTCAATTTGAGAGAGATGAAGAAGATCCCTTTAATCTTAGTAAATTCTTATCCAAAGTCAAAAAGGCCGAAAAACGCCCAGGTGAAGGAACCTCAGGAACAGATATCAGTAATCGTGACACTACTCATCGTAAAAGAGATCGGAAGGATTAAATCACTCTTTTATACATTGTACATATTATTTATGGTGAAAAAAATACGCAAAGTATTTTCTTGACTTTGTTGATGAACTGTAGTTGCAAATTATGTGGATTTGTTGCGCTTTCACTGAAGTTAAGATACCTCCCTGTGTATGTAAAGCCAAATTAAATTAAATTGGATATGTTACAGTACATATTACTAGTCAATATTTCATTGTTAAGTGTGTGTCGTCCTCTGTCATCATGGAAATGTGTTTATCGACTGACTTTTTATTACTAGTCGTTTGCAACAATGTTTCATATTTTTTTAGTCATTTTTTGGGTGCCGAATGCTTTTTTCCCTCAAACGATGTCTACTTAGGAGAACGTGAATACTGTTTGGAACATTAAAGCCTATTTCCATTTATATTTACAAAAGTGTGTTCCCTAGTGGAATCCCCTTCACTGTCTCCAACTTTTTAAGTTGGCATTTATTATTTTGCTTGGTTTTTGAGATTAGTTGTTACGCCAATCCACTTGTTATATCGAGTGGGATTCTCGTTGTTCGATATCATTAAAGTGATTTGTATCAACAGCTTATTAAAACATTAACTTGACATAGCTGGGGCGCCAGTTAATGCACCATACAAACTGTATTAAAATAACTGAGATGTACAAATGATGGAAAGATAATCAGAATCGCGTATTATGCACTCAAGGATCTTTCACTGTTTCCTTTAAATACTCAAGTGAAATACAGAAATATCATCACGTATTCTGATCCCGAATAATATGTAAACTCTGTATTATAATAAAAAGAAACTGAGATAATAAATAAGTCGGTATTAACAGGCCAAACAGTAGGGAAAATGAATTTTGATAATTTTCGTTGTCGTGGGTCAGCTAAGATTCCTTTAGGATTTTCGCTTCTGACGATTAACGGGTACACTATCTTAGTGGCCCCCTAAATGCCATGGTACAGTCGAGGATTGGGAGAGTTAGCTCTCCCTCTCGAAGTGCTATCATATGGCCATGCGTGCACAGCCACTGCGAAGAAAGTCCTACTCAGTATATTCTCGCGGCTGGGGTGTTGTTTACGAAATTGAGAGGACAAAAAGCGAATGTCCGGCGCTTTAACTGGGTTGGTGGATATGGGAGATCCACCTAGGGGAGTCGGAAAACCCTGTTTCCAAACCAATGGTGCACATGCGCTCCAAGATCCTGAGGAAACAGAAGGCATATGAACATATTGTTGGTCACCGGCTACTATGGGACTGCATCTTCTAACGTTGCTCCATTGTCTTGTGGATCAGACCTTTAGGTCGAAGGCTCCGGTCATGACCCTAATAAGGAAACCACCTGCTTCGGTCTGGGCACCCAAGCAGTATCACAGCCCATACACAAATCAAGTGGCGCATATGTATTAGGTGACCCTTTGTGTTAATATTCACTCACTTGACCTCACCTCGTTGAAATAGAGAGCCGACGAGATACACCCTCTGTGTATCTGGCGACCCGATGGCTAGTTTTCGTTGACTGGCGGGTGTAGGCATGAGGGAAGAACAAGCGCTTTTAGACTGGGTCTCTGTTAATAGTCGCCTATATGCTGTTCGGCTAAGCGGATCTCTAAGAATTTGGAAGTATAGATACGTGGATTGTTGTCTTTCCGTCGTTTCTGCCTATGTTCACATTTGACTGTAGCCTGGATTTAGTGAAAGGAATGTCATGGATAGCTCGTTCTGGATTACATGTTTGGACTCTAATCTTGCTCCAATTCGAGCGCTCATTTGCTTGCGTCTCAATGGACGCAGAAAAGCTACATCATGTAGACCCATTGGAGTTGGACTCAGTGATGAGAAAGCCAAAGATAAATTTCATGAACAAACGAAGTCACACTTTGGCATTTTCAAAAACAAGGTTGACCAAGATGTTGCTTGGAAAGATATACGCACAGCTGTGGGGATAGCGATGACATCTATTGGTGACTTAAACCAGAGAATCACGAAAAGCCAGTGAATTTTTACCAAATCTGTTGCACTGATAGATTCTTGTCAACTCATCCCATCAGGCTCTGAACACGAAAACAAGTCAGATATAGGTTAACCAAAAGTTTAAAGAACGACCGTGAGCAGTGGTTGGTAACGAAAGGAAAATGCAGAGGATGTTGGTAACACCAGACAGCTTTTCACACTAATAAGAGAAACCGGAATCTAGAAGTCAAGTGTAAGTGAGACTATCTCGGGAAAAGACACTTATATACTCTCAGCCTAGTCGTTTAGAACGATGGGTGAAACATCCTAAGGAGCAGTTCAGTTGGCATACAGCTACGTACCAGTTCCAAACAGCATGAATGGAGCATTGAAATAGGTTACTCGTTTCTAATTGATGTTCAAAAAGCTATAGCTAATCTGAAACAGGGAAGAACAGCTGGTCTAGATGGATTGGCTCCCGAGGTCTTTAAGTATGGTGGTCCAGTTTTAGCGATAAGGCCGACTCATATTTTAGCTAAAATCTGGGAGTTGGATGTAATCCCATCAAACTGGTCGCAATCACTGATTGCGTAGTTTGAATGAAAGGAAGCTTAGGCTTGATAACTTACAGTTGTCGTAAATTTTGTTTATAAGCTTCAGTATGTAAGCCTTGTGGAATTGCTTATGATGAGTGTTTTCCTCGTTTTTCACTGGGATAAACCGATAAGTATCATGAAGTTTAAGAAAGCCCATGGTGACCCAGTTTTTTATTTGTTGTCGATTACAGTTACAAATAACTGCGTCGGGAATAAGTATGCAACTCAGTAGTTCATGTTGTTGGTTAATGCAATTAAATCTATTCACATCACAAGTTGTATGCATGCATTTAGTTGTCGAACAGTTTATAACAACTGTCTAGTTCAATATTTTCAAATGTGCTTATTGGTCAGATATGCAAATCTCATCTAATTCGGTTCATTTTGACGTAGTTTTCAGATCAGTGATGGGTTTATGTTCGGTGTATAACAAACTAACAGTCTTGACATATACCGAACAATATCAGTCCATGTTAAAGTTATACAGGGTAAGTAAAACCGGTTGCTTCTGCATTCAACAAATAATCATATCACTATTTTCCCAAGTTATTAAAGATTCCTCAAATCTAGATTATATCAATATTAGATTACTGTAATATTCAGCTGACTGACATGAACATATTTTGAACAACTGTAATGTCCAAAGTTCAAGGTAAGGTGCGTAAAAAAAACTAATATTCTGACAGAGATGGTAATCATGTTTGTATTCATCTTATCGTTTTCGGTTTTGATAGTTTGTTAGGCTGAAACTTCAGTCACAGGAGATAAAGATCAAGATGATGTCCTTGCCGTCAGCTCTTACTGTCAGACTAGATTTATGTGAATTTTAAGAAATGGATTTTTTTCGTTTGACCACTGATAAATGCCCGTAAAGCACATACTTTCTGGTATTTACTGTCGTCTCATATAATAGTCTATGATACTGTCGTATGTTGGTAAAATACTGCTGTGGTATTTGCTGTATCCTGCGAGCTTAACTGCTAACTTACCCTGTCTAGCTTTCACAAGGACTGATGCCACGACTCATTGAATTGGTCTTTCTGCTTCACAGATCTCTTGGTGAGGTCTTAAAATACCTTGTAATGATAATCCGTAACTGCTGTTCGGTGAGAGTGTATTTAAGCTGGTGCTGCCTCCTACATATTTGGTATTTTGTACAATACTAGTTACTGAAAGCGATTAAGTTGGGGTTCCGAACAATGCGATATTCATGGATAATTAGATTCGGTTAAATTTAAAGTAGTGGAAATTCGGTATTCACTTTTGATAGTGAACAACGATGTTTTTAGAACCATTCGTACTTGTTGTATCTCAAAAAATATCAAAGCTGTACAAATTTTCAATACCATTTCTAGTTTAGCAGAACCCAACCTCATTTCATGTTAGAAAGGCATGCTCTTTTATCTGGCAAAATATAATGCCATTTTCCAAAGGGGAGATTAAGTGAAGAGTGATGTCAGGAGAAAGTCGTACTATTTGTTAAAAAAAGAACTAGCACTGCTTGTCTAATTGTTTGATAAGGTTGATGATTACACTTCTAAAAAACTATCGGGGAATATACAGTTGATATTAGAAACCTGTAGGTTATAGAACAAGCACTTCAAAACTAAGCTACAAAATCTAGCTGATATAAATGGAACCCATCGTAAACACATCCGTCTCCATTGTACCAGTTTTAACGGCATTTACCGATGAGCTATAAAATGCATAACCAGATCCATCTTTGTTTCAAAATCAATATCCAAATATAACTGCAGAGAGATTAGTATCCAAAACATAGGAAATATATTCTTTAATTACTAATCCCAATCTTTGAATTGTCCATATCCATAAGTGAAAGTATAGACAAGGTGCGCTGTTAGAACAATTTAGTCAATGCAATTATATTATTGTTTAGCATAATAATAATAATTGTAATAATAAGTTTTCAATCACAAAGAAATCACATAATACTATATTGTCGATCCAAATATATATTATGATGTTAGATATCATGCTGTAAAATAACCGGGAAAGTTCAGCAGTACCGCAAGACGTGTTATAACGGGTGGAAAATCAATATTGTCAAATAAGCTTAGGGAATAAGAGCACAACAAATATGATAGCAAGTAAGGAGGTATGGGAAGTCATTTCTTTATTCTATTTTTTTAGAAGAAACGAAGAGAAAAGAACGGGACGAAGTCGAGAGAAAAAGCATTATTCCATTCTCTAGGCAGAAAGGAAAGTATATCACTAAATAATCAATATGAGATCATGCAATAACAAAATGATGAAAATCAAGTATAAAGTTGAATATACGATTTTGTGTCACACTTCCTTGTGCCGTTGATACATACATAATAATAGGGGGTTATTTTGAATAATGAAAGACTTAGGTATGCATACTAGCTGATTACTGGAGTGGTATTAATAGTAGTAAGATAACAGATTTTATTGATAATAACGTAGGTAGATAAGCTGTTGAAATCAATCTATTTACATTTAATTTGGAAGGTAGATTTGTAGACTGCTTTATTTGTTAAATTTTCATCGGGAATTTTTCATTATCTCTCATTGATCAACTGGTAGTGGCAGACATGTGTATCCATGTAAAGAATTTATTTGAACAGAATAAAATGAAAATAAAAATATGATTAAAAGTTTATGTTAATTTGTGCTAATTATTTACAAATGGGTTAGTGCATACGCATATATTGACAAGACGTTTGCATAAACAAATTACTTTACGACAAGGGTAACATTTCTGGAAAAAGATAGTTGAAACTAATATGCTTTCTGAAATCCTTCATAATCTTCTGAAGGATTCTGGTTCTAATCTCAGGATTAGGAATATACGCCAATAAAGACCTTGAGAATTGGATTACATCATGCTTACTTTACAAATGACGTATCGGTTTTCAAGTGTAAAAATATCTTTAGGGTAATTTTCAGGTTACAAAAATTGTCCATCAACTAATTAGACTAGCAGACAACCAGTATAAAGCCTGTATTACTGTAATGTACAAAATGAACAAACAAATAAATCATGCTTTTAACAAACATCAAATAAACACATTATCACGAATAAGAGTGATGAGAACGACGCCCATACTTTCTGGTAAGAAAATTAATGGATCTCTTCTCAAAAAAGTAATAATCAAGGTGATCACACTAAAAACAGTTTACTAGTCTAAGCAATTCACTTGATGTTATTAAACAAAAACTTTTATTTACCCCAATTCGTACATAGTAACAATTAAATTTTCAAAAAAAATAAGCTAGTCATTCACATTCATGCATGTCATTACTTCAAACAAGAAATCCTACTACGTAAGTAGATTGATGGATTGAGAAATAAAACAGATACAGAAAATATGAAGACAATTAAAAGAATGGAAGTGCAGTGAAGTAAATTTACAGAACAAAAACAAAGTGAAGTACTTACGTAAAGTAATAATACCCCAACTGTGATGATGATGACGCGTATCCCTCCTAGGTCAGGGTATAGTAATCCTAACAATACTAGATAAGCATCTTGATGTTAATAGGACAACCATCCTGAGTGAATATGTGTAAAAAGAGTAAAGTTGGCTTATTTTCAACAAGTACCTATAGGAGGTAGGTGTTACATGCTACGCAGAACAGTATAATTCGACATAGTTAGGTTCTACACCTACTGATGGAAATAGGTCAAATTCACTTCTCTGCGGAGCTTCACTGACATTAATTTTCCAGCTAATGTTAAAACATTTATCTTTGAACAAATTTTATTATTATTATTATGTACCGACAATGTGAAATTCATTTGAGGGTGAGCATTTTCGAAAAATTGACGGCGTAAATATGGGTAGTCCTTCAGGACAATTATTGGCTGATGTGTTTATGGGATATGTGGAAAAACTAGGTGAAGATTCAATTCAAAAGATGTATCTGTATAAGCGGTACGTGAACGACATTGGTTGTTATCATTTAAAAGTTGAAGAAAAAGATATCTGAGAGGTTATTAAACAATAAAAGGACCAGTTACAAAGCTTATGAGTGTTAATTTAATAAGCACTTTACTTTTAAAAAACTACCCAATTTACTGTAAGGTGGTATCACAAATGACAAATGTTATCATTTATAGACGAAAAGAAATGAAACTCAAATGTTTTTGCATAGCTTTAACATCATCAATATCACTGAAAAACTAATAAAAAAACACTGATGTTCTAAACCAAATTTTGACTTTACACCTACTTTTTTGACTATTTCTTTTCACATGACTGGTTAGTTTCTAAATAAAGTTTAGGAACGCTGAGATTCCAATACGTCTAAAAGTATTTGATCGATAATTTAGATGATCTTAAGTACATAAAAATCTACTGGACAAAATTGTTCTTTCTGTAGACAATCCAATAATAATAAGGTTAGGATGACGGTGTAATACATATTAGTCCAATACATAGGGAATAATCTGATCACAAAATTACTTGTTAAAATAATTTATAGTACTAAAAAATTATATCAGACAGACAGTAATACAAAAAATAATAAGTTAAAATATAAATATGTACTGTACTTTCTTCATAGATAAATATAAGTAAGATGACTATTTGAATCAATTTTTGATTCACTATAGTTGATCTGGAATGACTCAAACAGATGCTCTGTGATGAAATAAACCACATTTAATCAGTAAACAATAATAACTGATGTGATCATTCTCTTGCTACAACTCAGTGCTTTGAAATTATACTCTTAATCTGTACTTTTAAGTACATTTTAAATCTAACTATATTTATAGAGAATAATTATTAAAACAATACAACATATAAACAATTTACCTCTACTTCAGCTGATAACTGATAATTATCTCTTCTTAATTGAGCTAAACGTTGTCGTTCATTTGCTAAGGATGTTTCTAATTCAATAATTTTCACTTGTAGTTCAACTTCCATACGTCTTGCTTGAGTTAATGTAAGACTACTAAAATCAAGTTCTAGGGTATTTTTAAAAGAGAAAAAAAAACAATATGAGCAGAATATGGTAACATAATCAAGAAAAGAATGATTATTTAAATTTCATGAAAAAGTCGAATCTAACATGAAAACAATTTACAATCAGTAATCTGAAAACAAATGGGTTTAGAGTATATGCTATAATTCTAGTAATAGTATGGTGTATGCTACTTATGTTGACAGATGTAAGTAGTATGTAGCACCAATCAGAACTGAAATGCCTGCCAGCGAAAGATGGAGAAAATTGAATTGAAGAGAATAGGGATATAAACAGAAAGTAATTGTAATAACAAAAGAATTGAAAGAATCATGAAGCACGTAAGGGACATCCGAAGGAAGATACGCAAATAATGTACTTAATATATAGTTTTAATATTTTACGAAGCCACTCTGTAATTTTGCATTAAACAATATATTTATCAGCCCTGCTAAGTCTACGTTCATTACAATAGGTAGGATATTTAGTATTTGTTCAAACTATATCATAAATTAAATTTTATGAATTACATCAGTAATTAGGATTTACTTCAATAGGTCAAAGGTTAGAATAATCATTCATTCGTTTATTTAGAGTCAATATTATTAAGAAATCCAAGTTTCTGATAAGATAGATGATTAGTTTATTTAACTTCTCGTTTCTGAAATTCATGCATAATACGCCTATCTGATATCAATACGTCGAATAAATATCAAAGAATTCTTCAGGTACAATGTGTCAAGCTTTTATAATAAGTTAAATACAAACACAGGTGATCTATAATAAATGACTAAAATACTGATCAACACTAGATTACTCCACTTACTTGTATCTTATCCGTATCATTCTGATCATCTGTTACTACTCACTGCAGTACCATTTCAATGGTAGATAGAGATTCCTAAGCAGTTTGCTTGTTTCTATCTCGTTGAACTATTAAAAAGCTAGAACTGTGGACCGTTAATTAAACCAGACAACAGACAATTTATGTGATAATATACCACATAGTTCTAATAAACGTTGTCTTTTCATTGTCTTATTTAAATATATCAACGAAACTGTTTTAAACGCATTCAGTATTATAAAAAATATAAAATAACGTCTAAAGCAATATTCCCTATGTGTACATTAAAATATCTAACTATAGGAAATTTTATATTCGGGACTCTTGAGTACGTGTTGCCCTGAGATGGGATGAATAAGTTGAGAATTGTGTGTATTTAAAATTTTTCACCGATCCTATCTTACAAAAATATGTATCTACAACTTTGAAAAATCTTTCGTTTTCTCACCTCATCTAATATTTGATTCAAGGGGATAACAGACTTGTGACTCAATGATTCAAGAACACATTTAAATATTAGGTCGAGATTATACAATGTGTTCTATGTAGATCAGTCGGCTATCCTAACTGACGTAAAGTTGTTTAATGAAATCGAGAACTAGAAATGGTACCTGATTACCGAGTTGCATCGTTATTATTTGTATTCAGCGTTATGAATAGCGGGAATTCATGACTAGTGGAACCAGAGAAGTTGTATAGTCACCAACGTTATTGTGAGATAATCACAAATGGAAGACGCTTGTGAACTTATTTTCATACAATCCCTCAAAATGTCATCAACAAGAAATGCAATTTTTACGTTCTGTAAGTTGACAGTGTGTACTTTTGAGCAATTTTAATCTCGAACAAGATAGAAAATTCATTACATAATGGGTTTTATTCACTTATCAGATGATTTAAATCTGTGATCACATAATCCTTAACATATCAATACCATTAAGGATTCTGTCAATCTATATATTAACTGAAAGAATTTACATCAATCAGTTTGACCTACTAAAAAAACACCATATTTCATTTACAAATGCTAAGGTTCTATGAAGTAAATAAATAATCATTTTAAGAGTTTTCAAGTTATTTGTCTGATTGTAGTTTTATAAATAATTAATTAATTTCAATAGTTGAAATCATGAGTCAATGGAAGCTAGACCACCATGAAAAACCTGGAAGCACTGGACGGCCGTTTCTTCCTATTATGGGACTCCTCAGCAGTGCGTATCCACGATCCCGTCCCCCTCGAGATTCGAACCCATGACCAATCAGTCTCGCGTGCGGGACTCAACCATTAGACCACTGAGCCGGCATCCAAAGGTGTTAGTGTTTAACTTCGACGGGATGTGGGATCGTGGATGCGCACTGCTGAGAAGACAAAACCGCCGTCCAGTGCTTCCAGGTTTTCCATGGTGGCCTAGCTTCAATTGACTCGTGATTTTAACTATTGAAATTTCTAAAATCTCCGAAAAACCTCTTCTAAAAATAACTTATCGTTTATTTCCTTAAACTGAAAAATCGAAACATCTATCACTGATGATCTGAACACCTAATGTAATTCTAGTATCCCTTTTCAGTAATATCTTCATTTAATCTAATTTTTTGGTAGAATTGTCAAAAACTGTAGTGCAATATATAAGTGAGATTTTAAAAAACTCAAAAAGTTATACCTTCTATATGTTTTGCTTCAATTGCCTTTTTTACACATGCAATCAAGTTTCCAGTACACTTGCATACTTCTTTACTAGTTAATTGTAATTTATTGAACATTTCAGATTGTGAAGTAGTTTTTACACGAGTAGCATAAACCAATTGAGTTGTACTAGCAGCTATCTCTTGTGAAATTACAATTAAGCGCTCTAATTTTACGTCATTTCCACAAACTATGGAATCAGCTATTTCACTATTTAAAAACATTTTTTATGAAAAACAAACGACAGTTAAGCATTTTCATAGAAAATAAATAGCATGATGATGATGTTTCACGATAAATATTGAGAGAGTAAGCAGTGAGAAATTACTATTCTAGTATTCATGCCACAGAAAATCCTGAAATCACTGTGAATGAGCATTCCACACCGTGCAGGAAGTTGTTTAATTCAGTGGAGGTTGTGTATTATGTGATTATCATCACCATCATTGAAGAGTGACTGATGTAGACGAAAGTACTGATTACAAAATTGTAGGCAGAGATTCGATTATCTCACAATAACGACAAATTATTTTTCTTGAGAGGATCCGCAACATTCCATAATAATTTTATTGATTATGGTAAAGTTCCCATAATATTGAAAGGATAACATAATAAGAAACCGTAAGTTCTGTATAAAAGCTAATGTGAAAATATAACAGTAACCTATGTCTCCTGAATTTTTCTTAATATGGGTTCCAGAAGTCTAAATTAGACCATGTAGAATGGTTTCAAAACAGATTCTCACATTATTTAACCGTTCGATCCTGAAACAGGCTAAAAGTAGTGTTAGTTTCAATGCATAGTTTAGTTTTGGTGAACGTAAGTTTAGGAGATAATCAAATTTATAACTTGAAGCTCGATTATCATTAACGAATAAATAAGACATTGGTTACAAATAATTAATCACTCATCGTATAAGTTTTTTAATTTTGTAAGAGGTCAGGAACACCCCTAACCATTCAATGGTAACGCTTTAAATTGCGGCAAATGGTGATTAGGCTAGAGTCTCATAAGGAGCTCCAGCACCCCAAAAGTTCCGAATATACCTTGCTGATGAGCATTTACTGGAACGACACTCCGGTTCACGACATACTGATAATTTCCCGAAACTAAAAAAATACGTAGATCATCATGTCGAGTTAATTACCATAGCAGGCGTACTAAAATTTAACCGACAGAATTCAATTGGAATTAAGGACAGGACAATATGACATTGAATAATATGAATCGAACAGTCTGTGTACCAAAACTAAATTCATGGAATTCATAAATATTTCCGTTTTCATAATCTTAAGCTTTTAGCTTCATGAAGTCCCCTTATATTTGCGTTAGTTTTGACTACTCATAATTTCCATTTCAACTAAAAATAACATGTGAATGGTTACAGAGGAAAACTATTCACTATGTTTTCAATATAAGGGATAATAGACAGATAATCTATGACGGATTTTGAAAAGGTTTATTTTCAAATGCTTTATTGAAAAGTTATGATTCAGCAATTTAATTAATCGAATTGAAGTTGAACAATAATTTCAGTAGCCACTATCGGATGCCAACAGGTTGTTGTCAGAAGACTAGAGACTATCTAGATCTATCACAAATGTCTTAATTATAACACACTTCTTACCGGATATACAGATTTCGGACATATTTGGAAAATGTCAATTAATCAGCAAAGTTTATTCGCACAACTTAATTTGATAATAATCAAAGTCAACATAGATTAGAGGCATAAATAACGAGGTTTCGTTCAGTTTGATTATACAATATAACAAGGCAACTTACACCATGACATTAGCATTAGCACCGACAAATTTAGCAGCCGATAAAAGACCTTTGGTCCAACGATTATAAGGTTTATAAAACTCAACGGATGTTGGCGAATTCTAGGAAAGAATAATTCATATGATAGGCAGAGAATAAAAACCATGTTAAAAAGAGCAACTAAAAGTTTTTTGCATTATTCGTTAAGCGAATCTGCTTCAATTGTAGAATAAATGTATAATAAGATATCAAATTAATTGAAATATACCTACTCAGGACAATTCGATTAACTCATACAACAGTAATAACTTAAAACACAAATGATACATTTACAAAGTCTTTTTAACGGTTGATGACTCTTAAATTGACATATGTTTAGCTGTAATTCAACGGCGTCGTTTATCCTTAAAAATCTGGTCTTCCTTTATTGTCGAATATTGCCAAACAGTTCAACAAACAACTATTACCCACAAATATATCTCAAGATGTGTTACGCATGATACAACACAAAATCCGAAAACAATAAAAAAGATCCACAACAGACGTTCTAACTATTACTAATAACTGTCCAACCCAGAAACCCGAACAACTGAGGAGACAAGAAAAACATGGAAAGTTTGCTGTGGCTTAAACTAACGCTGATCCAATGTGAAATGCCAAAGAATTTTTTAAATCTCTTGAGATATTCTTGAAAACGGGTTTTTGAGAATGAGGGATACAGGACAGTGTATTTTTAAACATGTGTGAAAATAAGATCAGTTAAACTAAAGATTACAAAACACCAAAAGAGATTAAGACAAAATTCAAATGTTTCAATTCTCTCAAATGTTGAACAATATTTAATGATAATAGAAAACAATGGAACAATAAATAGTCAGTTCTGTTCGAGCAATCTGCGTCGAACAATTCCAAAATTATTTTAACATGAATTAACATCAGGTGAAGAACCATTATGACCACTAACCCTGAGTATGGGAGACACTAACTAATAAATTGAGAATAAATTAAGAATCGTAAATCGCATAACAGTAACCAATAGGTCAAATGAAAGCTAATGATAGAAGAAATATGAATATACATATAATTTAGTGACTTAATAGCTATCCAATAGGAATATATGTAATAATATTCCATAAGTAATCCCTAGCAGTTAGCGTTCATTTGTTCTTCGTTCAGATGTAACAGGCTAACTAGTTTATCATAACGTTAAACTTCTTTATACAAACACACTGCACAAGACTTATGACACGTCGTTTATTTATCATAGAAATATATAATCATTCAAATATTGAACCAAATTTTAATAGTCTGAATTTACAATTTTAGTTAATCTGCAATAAAATAAGACGGACACTGATCGTTATTGTTAGACCCTTGTTTTTACCTATTATTTGGTTTATGTTGTCGTCTTACATCTAGTTGATTTTCTCTCGTACTGTCCCAATGGTAACTCAAACCGGTATATATTCATCCAATACCTACAATAGAAAAACTAACACTATAACCTATTATAGTTTCTTTTGCTTTTTTTCCTCTAAAATCATCTAAATGAGAAATTTTTAAACATGCTATTTTTTCAGTGTTTTCCGAGTCACCTATAAGGTGAAAACCATAATATTATGATAATACAGTACACCTCAGTGTTTGAAATAGTATACAAATCAACTTAAAATATGTCAACTTATCAATCAACAACTAATAAACATAAATAATAAAAAAGAAAAAAAATCTGTAGGCTAAACTATTTACATCAAAATATAACAATCATCATATATAAAATAAAAGTGTAAAAGTAACCAAATTGACAAAAGTATACACAGATATACATACTTCAAACTCCTGTTGAACCAATTTAGATTGTTTCACTAGATCACCAACACAAAGTAACAATTCAGAACAACAATCTAATATGAGTGAATTCACTTGAAGATTTTCATTGTTTATTGAATTTTTTTTAGATTCCTCAATTAATCCCTAAAACAAAAAAATATGTTAACATATCAAGTCGAGGTTTTGAAAAATCTGAACTAACTTTGATACCTAATAGTAATAAGTTCCATGATATACATAGAAGGTAAACGAAATCAAGGATGTTTAAACTGGACTAATGTCCAATTGATTGAGATGTCAGAAATTAGTAGCTAGAGTCTCTACGTGACATTGTTCAACATTGATATATTATTTATGTTAGTTAGAAAAATTGTCTTTCGTAAAGTTATATTCATATTAAATCGAAGAATAAATTCTCATTTTAATGAACAGTTTCGATTCTAATCTCAAACAATAAACAACGAGTATCTTTAAGATTATAGACATGTCTCATTGATGAGCGTCAGTAAGTATGGAAATAAATGAGGCATGTGACTAAATAATGATTGAATTCAGCATTGTAGTTTATAAAAAAAATGTATATTTTTGATAAAGTATAGTCTTTAAAAGCGAGTTATTGGGTTTGAATATTAGTATGAACATCAACATTGGGATCCGAACATACTTAGTTGAAGAAGATAGAACAGGATGGAACAAGCGATCTGGATCTCGCTGCTAGTCACAGTTCATAAATCTATGAAAAAGAAATGATTACCTGGAATTTCTGTTCTGCAGCTGTGATAGCCTCAAAAGTGGTTTCCATTTCTTTCTGTATCACATTAGTCGACGACATAATGTCATCATTATTGTTATCATTCGACAGACAGTTTGATAAATTTGTTACTTCAATAGACATAGATTTTAACTGATTATGAATCTTAGATAAATACTCTTTGATTTGATTGAAATAATTGTGCTTATCGTTATTATAATTTATATGGTCCTGATCAATACGGTTGATTTGTAGCAGAACATTAAGTAATTCAATAAATTCACTTTGAATTAAATCTAAATTATGTAAACAGTCTATAATGTTAAAAAAATTTGAAAATAAGTATAAATTATGACAAACTTTCACTTAAACAAAAAACTCAAAACTAGATTATCAAGGAAACAAATTGTATGGCGTAAAGTTATATGTAGCGTCGATTAATACAATGTTGCATAATTATTATTGTCAGTACCATTCAATCGTCTCCAGATATCTATAAGGGAGTTTTATGAAGCGAAAATAAATGGACAATCTTCTATATATATTCCAAAACTTTAGATAAGTTCAATCGCTTTCAAAGTGTTAGTATGAATAAAAGGAAATGTGAATAATTCGCTAGTCAGTTGTCAATGAATTTATCAGGATTGTGTAATGCTGATGTTCCTCTACAGTAGCGAATACGTGTCAGTCAGTGTTGGAGTCAAAGATGTTAACGACAAACTACTTGAAACGTCTAATTTCAATAATTTTGTTTAAAATACACTATTATTTATCATTGTTAAGTAATAACAAATGATAGTTTTAAGATAGATCATATGCTAACCAAATAATGAAAAACCATATATTTAGAGCCACAACTATGTATGTAGTACGCAACACAAATCAGAAATGGAACGCCTGGCGGAAGAAAGTTGAGGAGATTGGACAGAAGAAGAAGGAAAAGGAAACATAAAAAACGAGAATTGAAAGAATCAGGGAGGACGAAAGGACATCTCATGGAGGATTTACAAATGAAGTATCTGATGTATGAATTCACCTGGTGTTGTTTTACTTGTATCTTCCGATTGTTATTTAGGATTGCAATTGATCAGTCTCATAGTGGCACTCTACTCAAATGAATTAATAAAAATAGATTGAGTGGAATTTGAATAAAATACTCCATGGTTTAAAATCGAGTAGCCTAACAATCAAAGTGCTCTCATACACTAGTAAAATAAGTTCGATAAACCGATAGTTCCGCGAGACTATAATTTATGGACGACCATTGAACGAATCTTAAGTGGCACTGGGAAATATTAGCCAATCAGCAAACAGTCGGTATAAAGTAAAAATATATTATACAAAACCAAAGAAATAAATTGGATACACTTCTTATTCATGGTTCAAAAACTTGTCAAGGTTAGAAAGAGGTTCAGAGGTTCTAAAATCGTAATGCGTGCAGTAGAGGAAATCATCCATATGGCTACAGAATAGTCGGCCTCTGGAGCCGCGATAGGGTCGCAAAAACTCTTTCAGCCTCGACCACATAGCTTCAATATTGTTTGTGTGCATTTCGGTTGTTAATCCCAAAAATGCCACTTATGGGTAACGACACGATACACATAACCAAATCTATGTAGGAGTCTGTACGTTATCCAATCATCCGCATATATCGCGGTACCTCGCTACAGCCAGTGTTACTAGTGCTTTGATTGTCCAGTTCGCAGTAATTGTCATAATTTGCTTTAGTTAAGAATTGTGTATGGAATTTTCATCACGAACTAACATAAGCTATAATGTCAAAACTCTATTTAGCCAAATGGATGAAAGGCTTTCGCGCCAAAATCCGAGAACTGTTATGTTATACTTGATTGGTTCGTCCACAAATCATAGCCTGGCCGGTTTATTTGTTATAGCCGCTCAATTATCACGTTTTTTATAAAATCCCCTGTGAACTGATCGTACGTTAGCACTAAGCACTGAAGTTGGCACCGTGACCTCGAAATCCCTCAACCGCTTCTGATTGGCTCATCCATAAATTAAAGTCTCACCAATAGTTCGACAGTTCATTATTAACTGAATTGTTATAAATTATGATTATTACTGTACTAGTACAAAATTAGCTTTATAAGTCTATTTCATGAGAAGAAACAAGTGTATTGAATTGAATTCCACTGCTAATCACATGCTATCTATTTTATATAAGCTTGTGTTATAATATTTTTTCTGGTTAGCGTTTTTTTAGCGAGTTAGTTTTCTACGGGATGGGGACGCCATCAAGGCAATATACACAGAATGTATATTTGCCAACTGACTGAAACTAATCAAAATTCAGTCAAAATATTAACAAAGAAATGATCTAAACCATTATAAAGTAAATTATTTCAAAAGACTTTTAAAATGAATTATTCTGATGATAATTATTGATACTTGAATAGGATTGTGATAATCTTTATTAAAAGTTCACAGAATATTAAAATTATGCCACCTTGATTTCATGGTTCAATGAAACTAATTAATTTATTGCCAAAAGAATATCAATACAAACTTTTACATAACTTTACATATTATTCATATTTCACTATTTAATATTTTGTTATGAAACAGCAGTATAAACAGCACTATCGAAGTTATTCAGTTTTCGTTATGTAGTATAACCTATAGAGCCATTTATTATTATTATTATCATTGTCGTCATTAATGGCTTTATTCAATATTTTATTTTTGGTACAATGTTTCAACAAGTTTCTTTTTCTTATTTCTTGATCGATTCTGATGTCAAATATGGAAACCTTGTAGTGATACTGAATAGGCATCTTGTAAATCATTTAACCGGGAGTCTGGAATTGTAATTACAGAACAATTACGATACATGTTTAGGCTTTGTAGGAACTGAAGACAATCCACCTTGTCAATTAGTGATCGCCAGTTAGACGGTGACAGTTCAGGAATCAACATCTGAGTAGTGTTCATTCTTTTCAATGCATATTGCCAGCCACCGTAACGTCTCTGATTGTACTTTTTTGTAAATTGTACAGCGAAAGGCTGTTAGCTTTACATAAACGCACCTGAATAGGTTATACGATTAACAGACATAATGATGTGTTGAAACAACGAAAAAAACCGATAACATGTTGAAATATCTACATGTCCGGAACAGGTAGTTCAGCTATCCAAGCAGACCACTAGTCATTAATATTATTATAACATGCATAATAAATCACGTAAATTTCTTGAGAAACAGAAAAAAGGAAACCCAGATGACCTTTTTGAACGACTAAAATATACATAATTTTCAAAGACGTGGAGAAATCCAATTAAGGTGTATATTTATGCGCTTGCAAAAGAATGTAATCAATCCACACTTTTCAGAATCTAAAAACATACTAAGTTAGACACAAGCAATATTAGATGAGATAAAGTACCAGGAATAATATCAATACAATCACTTACTGTATGAAGAATCACTTGTGACATTTGATTGACGTATCGATATAGAGAAGAGAGATAGTAATGATAACTGAAAGTTTAGCTGACCAATATAATATGAAGTTTGAATCAATCCTGTTAAAATATACAACTTTATATATAATGAACAGTAAATTAAAAATTGTTTTATTATACTTCTAGTACACTGTAATACAAACTTAAAACAATCATGAAGTAAAGAGTAATACGTGATATCCCTAAATCCAGTTTAAGTGATATGTTTTACATTTATTATTGACAAAACACTAACTAATGTCACGTTTGTTTAGAATGTAATGATGGTCAAACAATATTGATCAATTCTCAATGTAACAACTAAATGAAATGACTCAATACAGATGTACGTTTTTTTCATGGTACACAGTTATCTGGAAACTCCAAATATATGTTCCATGCTAATTGTTACTTATCAGCAAAGTATGCCATCAAATAGTAACCAATGTTATATTAGTAATTTTCTAGTGTTTGGTGAAATTTAATTGGTCAAGTTGTAATGTGACCATCATCAGTTGAAGTAATTTAGTATCACAGTATATTTCCTTTGATGTGAAGTAATTGTGAGACTATAACTACAGAGAGTGGTGGATTCAGGCTTTGTTTTAAACAAAATCGCTAACTAATATTGAATTTGTTTTGAGAGATCTTAAATAAAAGTAAATTGCCGAAATCATAAACCTTAAAAGATTTCATTGTATATACTTCAAATGAACGATAAATGTTAATTGGTTCATACTACATAATGAAATTATGAAATTGTATCAACTACGCTTGAGTTAAACGTACACTTGAAATATGTAAATGTAGAAATAGGTGAATCTTTTGAATCTCATTTCATGAGTTAGTTGCACTTATGATATCCGAATCCTTTTATTAACAAACTTCATGTAACCAACTTTTTAAATTTGTTTAAAACTTAATAAATAAACCAATATTATACCTACGACTGAGACATAGATTAATCAATTCATTCAACTTATTTACAAAGAATATATTTCTGTACCTAGCTTCGAGCCATAATAAATATGAGGACCTTTGATACTACAAAAGTACCTAAACCGAAGTAGGTGAAGCAGGGTTATTTCCCGAGAATTAGTGGTTAGGGGATAAACTCCAAAAACACTGAGCCACAATACCACTTATTCATCAAATATTTTTTGTTATTTTTCAACATTTTGATATTTCTTCTATCTTTTTTGTTGTTTATTCCAGAATGTTCGCCAAGTGAAAAAACACTAATGAAATAAAACACAAAGATTTATCTTTTTTCATAATACCATGATCTAAAGACAGGTTTAACGTAACGGGAGAGCTTTCATTTAATTCAAATTACAGGTTGCTATAATTGTATACGTATCCACTATTAACACAATATTTTTTAGTTGTGATCCATCAAACGAATTCGTATATTTAAAGAGTTAAGGAATAAATAATTAAATTTTAAATATAAAAAAATTATATAATCATTACCTTCTTCACCATCAGACAAGTAGTCAGTTAATGCAGATTCAAATAAATTAAAATAATTAGTAACTTGTGATAAATGATTTAAAAAGTACGCTAGAACAAAAATAAACAAAACAAAAAAAGATGTTAAGTAGCGTATAATAATAATAATAATGATATTTTGATTCCAACTCGTTGAACAAATTGAGTATCTTATTGTGAAGACAATTCGACAGTAATAATTTATATCTTTTTTAAAAGGAATAAATATTTAGAAATTATTGAACGTGAAAAAAGTATATCAGCTATTGAAACACACTTGAATTTACGGATAAAATAATTTGTTAATATAACAAAAACCGAAGTAATTATAAACATTAGTGATAAAATGAAAACAGAAGCATTAATAAATAAGAAAAATAGATACAGTACAATTAACTGTTCAGGATTGATGGAAACATAGAGGTGTACTTTAATATCTTTAGAGGTATGCTATTTGATGGCTTAGTGAAATTTAGCCTCAAAAGTCTTATACAGTCGAAGGTAGCGATAGTATTTCCAAAAATCTTGAAATGTGAAGTACAATTATTAAGTCGAATAAGCGAGTAAGAAGTTTCAACTTTAAGGAGAGGAAAACCTTATTTTAAAACCAGTGGTTCACACAGTTTTTAGGATCTCGAAAAACTAAAGCAATATAAACCTCATTTATTTATTGTGCAATATATTGGTGCATCATCTAATGCTATTACCTTTTTTTATAAATAGAAATTCTGGATCGAGAACATAATGATCAATTCTCTGAGTAAATCATGCGCTCTCTATACATTGAATGGAATTATGTATAGATCGCCTTGTTAATATGCAACAACGAATTTAAACTCTCAACATTATAGAAACTAAGATTTACTGACATATAATTTCGGCAAAATGTTAAACAATGAAAATACTGATCGAATTCACGGGATCGTATGGATATAGAGGAAAAATAAAAGATAAGATAAAACTCACTTGGAGAACAATGTATGTACACTTCTATAAATTCAGGTGATTGTCCCACAGTTTTATTACTTTGTAATACAGATAATACTTGCTCAACGGTATTTGTTAAAAGCATTTGTTTAAATTTATCTAAATGCACTGTTAATTCGCCATTCTTACAATCTTTATCATCACCAACAATTTGTGTAAAAGTATTTCCGTCGCACGTATCATTCCCCCTGACTGCAAATAACTTCTCTTGGTTAAGTTGATCATTTAAAACTTGTAATTCATTAGTTAATTTAGAAATTTTTATTTCATAATCCTTTATTAATTGTTGACTTTCTAAAAGCTGAAATTAACAATCAATTAATAAGATTATTTTAGTTACATTTTACCAATGAAATGATGGAATAATAGACCTTCGTTGCTATAACGAGCAAAATAGTATTCTAAATGCACTAACTATTAACTAAATAACCACGAAAATCATACTGCATAATTCTTCGTTAATCAGTAAGAACAAATTACGGCATGGTGAAAACGGTCGCCTCCTAAAGTCACTACATCAAGTCATCACAGAGTGATGAAATAAAACATTTTATTAGTGAAGGAATTAAAGTAATGCCAGCTTTTAGGGTTGTGAAAAAAAACTAAGATATAAAAAGAGGGAATTAAATAACAAAAGGTAAGAAATAATATTGAAGCTCAGTATCTAAAAGGACAAGAACGAAAGCAACTCAGGTATTACAATAAATTTCGAGCCCTTTCAAATATGATACCGAAATGTTGACCAAAAGTACCACGCTAATCCCAAATAAGGGGTCTTCATTAACCTATATTTAATCATTTCATACGTTGATATCTTATACTGGTTCGATCGCTCCTACTTTCTGGTAAAAATCACTTAGGCATAAATCAAGTTAGTATTTACAAGATAATTATGAGTGATGTTGACAAAAGATTTGACTATAAAATATTTATTCAAAGAATATGCTTTTGAAGTAAATTCGCATCAGTTGCTTTAATGATCAAAAAGAATAAACAAATTTCAAGTTAATATATATTAAGAAAAAAAGAAAGAAAGATATGCACTTAAGAGTAAAGATAAAATAAGTTTGTTATCAATTTTACATTCTATTACGTAATGTTTGATTGAAAAAAAAACCCAATAAAATTACAAGGATATTAAGAGAATTAGACAATATATAGAAATAAAAATGATAGAAATAGTAATTAATAGATCATTTCATTAAAAAAGTTTAACTATTAACAAGATTTCAATTTTTTAGTCAAACTACTGAATGTTTTACTTTTGAAATGAGGTTTTGTAATGAGACAACTATGTATCTATTTTTGTGTAGCATCATTATAATCAATATTGCTTATTTCAGTAGATTATCATTCAATTAGATCAGTTTTAAGTTTACTATGTTTGTAAGAGTTCCCTTTTTTCTAACAGTAAGATTTAATTGATTAAACAAATATGATAATCATAAATATTCTATATATTTCCAATAGTAACCATATACACACTAAAAATTAGAATCATATGACAATTATTGTGTATCATTTGTGTATTAGTCAGAATGATAGAGAAGAAAAAAGATGATAAAGAACTATAAAAATAGTAATAAATGATTTCTTCCCAGTATAAATTCATATATAATTTGATATCTTTGATATTGAACATTAACTAGCTTTCAAGTTCCAACAAGTAACATTTCGTTATGACACACATAAAATAAGTAGTTTTGATACAGCCAAATTTAATTAACACAAAAACTACAATTTTATGTAATGATGAGCTTATGAACATTTGTATAATGCATATTTAAACAATAATATTCATAGAATTATGTCGTCGAAATTTGAAAAGATTTCTTTTTCAAATAATCGAAAACATTAAACTAAATGCAGGGAATTATGTAAGAAAAAAGAAGCAAAACATGATGGCAAATCAGATCTTAACAACATAAAATAAAGTGGTTTTATCACATGAATCATATTAACATAAAATACAACATATTAGTTTGCCAGCTATTCGCTTATATCATTTTGTGCTTTTCAGACAGAAGATCTACTAGTTTCCAGAATATCTCAGACAAAAATAACAATAAACTGATGAATGTTATGTTTTGGTTTGACTGTATAGAGATATCTTTAAAATGTATTCCACTCACAAATGTAGCTAAAAATGTTTAAATCTATCAAATTTTATTTGACAATCCACTATATAGACATATATTCCATAATCAAACATACATATATAAGCAACATAGAATCATTTTAAAAACTAGTCGTTAGGAAGAATAGTCATGGAAATATGTAATTCATACTTTGATTGACACAACACAATCTTTACAAAAAGCGAATGACATTCAGACCATGTCAACATTTAAAGGCAAACTATTGTGTAGTAAAGAAGTAAAAGGTAAAATTCCTCTTTAGTTTATTTCTTTGATTTGAAGTCGAATAGGTGAAAAAATTTGAAAAGCATTATCGCGCTACTTATGCCATAAATAAACAGTATACACTGGAACGTTAAAAATTCTACCTCACACATGCGCTGAACTACTAGATTATCATCTGTATTTATGACTATTTCTTTTCATTTGGTTAAATCAGTATGCGTTTGAAGTTAGTTTGTTAAACACTGTCTCTTATTCTGCCGAAATTTAGGTTAATCTGAGAAGAATTGGTCACAGAAAAGAAACTTGAAGATGTTTACAACATGGTCAGTTGCTTGATTGATTTTAAAATATACTAACAAATCAATTCACATAGAAATTTGGGTAAAATTGAAATTCGGAAATTTGATATTACCTAGAGAGAGTGAATTTACAGGTAAAACACTAGACTAAATATCTTAAAGTTATACGTTAACACAACTTTAAAAGAAACTACAGTTTTCATACAAACTTATATTGATAAGAGCAACTCAATGACACAAATTAATAGAAATTAGTAGTTTAACAAAAATATGAAATGACTTCAATGCGTTTATAAGGCGACAATGAGAAACACAAAGCATTGTATGTAAATATGAAAAAAATCATTGAATAAGCATTATGTGTAACAGATATATGTAGATATATGGATGTAAACACAATATGAATAAATTACAATTTAGAAACTGATAATTTTAATGTATAAAATGGTTTATGTATACTAGCCAAAAATACATATAAAAAACTATAATATATAAGTAATACCAGAGCTAGAGATAGATGTTAGATGGTAATTTAATAAGTACTTCATGATATCTAGCTGAATCCATGAAAGAAAAAAAAGCCAGTTCAGACTATATGTACCATAACACTAACATGTGAAACAATCTACAATTGGTTGTTTAATTCAGAAGATACAAGATTTAAATCAATAGTTCGTTGACTGAAACAAATGTCTTTGAGAATTTCTTCAGTGCCGTAATTAAATATGTTATAATTGAACAAACCATTCAGGAGGTCAATAATTGACAAAATTTTAGTAATACTAAGGTTGGTTAACTACATTAACAAAGAAAAAGTAAAGGCATAAACAATTCGGTGGGATGAGGCTTTGAGTTGTTTTTATAATATGAATTTTATCATGACTTCAGATACATATCCTTAATAATCATAAACGTGAATGAAACCGATTCTGTGGTTAATCGTAAGGAAAGAAAGTGTCAGTTTCTTCAAACAAAAGAATTCAATAAAACATTTAGATATACACATTTCCATCTAAGGTTTTTAACCTCTATCCATTTAATTAAAATAACCCGTAGTGTCATTGAATAAGAAAAAGAAAATTCAGCGAAGAAAATATTCTTAGCTTCAACTGACTCATGATCTTAATGACTGAAATTACTACAATCTCCACAAAACCCCTTCTGATAGAAATCATTTACTTAAGCTGTACATTCGTATATATACTTATATGGAAAATGTATGTCTATAGTACGATAGAAAAAATTTGCATCACAAAAATGGATTCGAGAATAAAAAACAAATGATGTTAACGCATTAATCAAGGGGTAAAGAAGAACAGAATTTATGGGTCAGATAATAGTCCTATTGACAGATATGAAGAAAAGCGACAAACAACAAAGGTCATAATAATAAACTGAATAATAATCAAGAAAACTTGTATAAGGTAATAATAATAAATGATTAGAGATTAAAATGCAAAACAATAATTTGAAAAGAAAAAAATATCTGTCAAACTATTCGTTCTAATCTTGACGAATATTCGTATAAAATATCGAAAATAATTGGATAAAAGTGCAGAAAAACAACAACAACAAAAAAGCACACAAACACAGAAACATACCCATTAAGGGGATTAGGGCCAAGAAAGGATGAGAGGTTGGACAAATCGTTTCTGCACACAAAGTTCAGGCTTGAGTTTGTGGATTGCCGATGCCTCAGCAGTGCATAAAATACTGATTCGAACCCCCTTTGATCCAGTCCCTTTGACTCTGTAGACTACTTCAAATGAAGGGTCCTTTGGAGCGATGTGTCCACAGTTGATTAAGTGCTCCTGTATCGAACTAGTAGTCAGTCAGTCAGCTGAAACGTAGGATCAGGCACGTATATGCATCGGTCCAAGTTGCCATACTGCATTAGCACAACAAGATGAACACTGGATTCATAGAAGTAGTTAATTCAGTGGTGGTAATATATAGAAGAAAGAGTGTGTATAAGGAGATAGTACAGGAAGAAAGAATTAGTTCCTAGAAAGAAGGATTTGAAGTGATTTTAATCTCTTAGTTTAAAGGAAGACAGAGAGTGTATACACCGACGCCATTGTGATCGATTCTGAGCCATGTCACCAAGAATCTCCAACCATCGGTTACGATAGTCACGCACACCCCAACCAGGCAGTCTGCATCTACCAACATGGCTCAGACCAGAAGTTAGTGACTTCAAACACTGATGCCACGTTTTGGTTTGGCCGCCCCTAACTTTCTTCCAATCATCCCTAACACCGGTTAGCATTGCGCGCCGTGGTAATCGGTGTTCAGGCATACGCAGCACGTGGCCCAACCATCTCAGTCGATGAAGATTCATAACCTCATCAACTGATTTACCATCATTCCAGAGCAGATATAAGTAACGTAGTGGTGCATTTTATGCCCTTAAGTTTACACAAAAGAAGTTTGATCAGATTTCTAGAATAGATTGGATTCATAGGCTACTAACTTCATTGATTAATTATATAAAACATTTGATAGAATTACGAAATAACGCTGAATATACGCCACGTTACGTATTGGGTATTCTGATACAGTTGGCTGTGATGTATAAACTTACTGACTATAGACAATCTCCACTATTTTCTCACAAGTTATAGACAGTTTCTTTGAATTTTAATTCAACAGTTCGATCAATGATCGTTCTGGTATAGTTGTATAGAATTTCCATCTTATTGTTTTCGCTAGATTACTAAACTTTCTAGTTTGCAGATAGGAATATCCCATTGTTAATATTTTCGATTGAAATTTCATCAAAACAACCGGCTGACGTGTTATGCATAGGGCGAAAAGTGTACTAGATTCCACTGCTAGCAACATTTCATCTATTCAATACTAATTTGTGTCATAATGGCCATACCAAGGCGACCCACATGGGATGCATATATGCCAACTAAGACTGATTGAAATTCAATCAAAAATACACACAATAGGATTATACAATCTATTTCAAATTGAATTGTGATTTGTGACTTTTTTGAAGCATTATTTTAAACTACTAATTTTTAAAAAAGTTATCGAAAAACATCCATTTTATCCCTGATCCCAGTGCCTTACTTGATGACGACAGATTATTCTTCTCAAGTCACTGAGTTTTGATTCTAGATCTAGTTTCATTAAAGAGATAAAACGGAACAGCTTATGTCATAAAATCACACAAATGATCAAAATAATCAAAGTGAATTAGTGGCCAACTAATGGAACATTTATTTTAAAACCACAGTTGTCATTTTATGTACCGAAATAACGTTTATACATACTTATAAATACTCCTTCGTTCATTTATAAAGCATAAACACAGTCATTAACAATAGTCAAATATCATGATCTTAACTATTGAAATAAAGTCAAATATCAAATAAGTGTTTTATTCATTCACTAATCAATTTATTATGAACTAAATTTTAGCGACATTTTCTGAATATATAGCAAATAATGACCTCAGGATGTAAACGAATGACATACATTAGGACTGTCATCTATCTTTCTATTTCTAACTGAGAGATGGTTATTTCGCTGAAGTGACACTGCAAGCACAACTATTAACATGAACTATGAATAATCAATTTAGTAAATATATTTGTAACCAATAGTAAAATAAATAAGTTTCATAATAAACAAATAAGCAATTCACTTCATAATTGATTTCTAAAACTGAAAACGGCACAAACCTCTATAGCAAGTTGATCTTTCTCAGTATTTACAGATTCGGATTTTGATTCACAGGTATTCAATTGATACTGTAATTTTAAACAATGATCGACCGATTCTTCGATTTGATTTTCAGATATAAGCGAAGATTCAACTTCACCTAGCGATGAGGACGTTTGATGACGACGGAGATCCTAAAGTAGAAAAGCAAGAATTAATTGATTAAATTTATTTTAACTCCGCCTGTAGAACTACCAGGGTGACTGGTGGTCCCAAGACCGGGCAAAAAAAGAGAATTCAGAATGAGATCAGAAATACTACCTATCAGAAAACAAACTCACTAAAAATGCAACCATAATAAACAACTTCATCACTTAAACTCTGACCTACAAGTTGAAGGAGATTCATCCAGAAGAATTATGATATCCTATGGTGAAAGTCGAGATTCTCTGAAAATTACAAAGCCAATGCTCCCTCTAACGATCGGAGCAACAATTAATATATATATATATATATATATATATATATATATATATATATATATGAAATGTCCGGACAATGTGGGAGACTGAGAAGACAAGCCAAATAGCTGCAGAAATGAGGTGATTCAACTTGGCTGTGTTCGGGATAACTGGAACCCATTTTATCAAAGATAGACAGAAAAGGTTAGAGTCTACAAAAGATGCTGTTGTATTCGGTTCATGAACGAGAAAATCTTCCACACATGCACGAAGATGCACAGAGATCGTCCAACGAACCACGAAAACTATTCATAGAATCGGCATTATCAAAGCATTCATCAAAACGAAGAGGAGGATTACAATCAACGTGATCTGTATTAGTCAGCTCTAGAAGAGGTGGAATCTTCCACGTACCTGAGCAGCATCATCACTGAACAAGGAGGATCCAATGCGGATGTAAAGGTAACGATTGGTAAACCAAGGGCTGTATTCCTACGACTGAAGAACACCTACAACTCAAAGCAACTGCCAACCAATATCAAAGTCAGAATCTCCAATACGAACATCAAGACAGTTCTACTATACGGAGTTGAAAATGGGAGAACTACCACAACAATCATAAAAAAGTACGGGTATTTCTAAACAATTGTCAATAAAAGATACCCAATGCCCACTGGTCGGATACCATCAGCAACAAACTACTGTGGGATAGAACAAACCAGCTTGGATAGGACATACATTGTAGAACTCATCAAACTGCATCATAAAGCAAGCGCTAACTTGAAATCCTGACGGTCAAAAGACCACAGGAAGACTGAGGAACACATTGTGTCGGGAATCGAAAGCAACGGGAAAGGATTGACCATGAAAAAGTTCGATGGAGAGCGCTGGTGGGTGGCTTATGCTCTCTTCGCGAGGGATAAGTGAGTAAGTCTATTTAATTTAGAGAACCCTAGATTCAATAGGGAAACAAACAAATTATTGCAAGTAGTATGTTATGTCTGAGTCTGCTTTTCCCTCTGAAACAGAATCGCGTTTAAGGACGTCCCTGAACATCACCGAGGAATCGTTACATAAACCAAAGTGATAGTACTTGTAAATTGTAATTGAACAATAGTGTACGTCTTGAACTGAATAGCGCAATAATCACAGATGCGCTGAGGACCACAATGAAACCAAGAGCAATGGTTTAACAGATGATCTTAGGTACTAAAGAACAGACGAACGTATTTCTAAATATTCATTTAATAAAATATCTATGTTACGTTATATAAATTGTTATTACATTATGTTTGATCAAGTTTTTAATGTTAACCAGACAATACATATACCTTAGCTGAATGGATATATAAATAAGAATTATCATAGTTGGCATCTCTGTGTGTTTATCATTAACTAAATTGTTTATAACTGAATAAAATGTATAATAAATACTAAATATATACCATTAATAAAACGAAATGAAGTTATATTTTACTGATAAAATCAAATAAACAATTTAGACTGAAACTGTAATAATATACTCTTAATTATTATACAGAGAATAGGACATAATTGAATTGCAAATGAAATTATACGAAACAATTTCAGACACGGTGTATATTAAGAAAAATAATGCCATAAGGCAATTCAGTCCAAATATATACAAGTGTGTGTGACAGAAAGGAGAATAAAACGAAGGGTTAAACAAACACAGAGAATCTCTAAATGCATATTATGTTACTTACCTAAATATGACGCTGTTTACCATCAACAGGAATTTGCTAAATATAAATTCTAGGTTTAATAGCTTGTTAAAATATCAATTTTCCATATGTTAAAGATGTTACAATATCAACAAACTACTTGCTGACAGATTATGTTGTTATTTTTGTTCAATATATTTGAATTTCTGTTTTTTTCTGAGTGTAATCAATCTACATACAGAAAACATTTTTCGTTTTTAATGCTATAAAATGATCCCGCCTCATTACTGCTTTATGGGCTATCGGGCATACTAATTTCTTACCCTATGCCAAAAATCATTATTAGAAACGTGTTTAAACGCACTGACAGTTTGCTTAAACCAATCTTCATTGATTTCCCTAATGAATCTTGCTTGAAAGATTGATTTTTGAAGTGCCTGGGGGGTTAAGACGAAAATAATGTCATGGTAGCCAAGTATCAAAGTCTAGATAGGACTTATTCCCATATTTACAAAATATTATGATAATACGTAATTTCATTAGTGATGTTAGTTCTAACCAAAAGACCGTAGTGGTCACAAAATACGAGCAATTTAAGAATTCATTCAAAACTGTTACACAGTAGTTACACTTATTTTTGTCAACAAATCTATAAAGACTTCAGTATCAGATAGCTTGTTTAGAAACACAAAATAAATCCATGATATTCGCAGGTTACTAGTATTTGATCATAGGTGTCTTCGAAACATTGCTCGAATATCCTGGTACCACCGAGTAAGTAATGCAGTTGTTAGGAAACGGGTACTAGGTAAGGATGGCAAATCAATTGATGAAGTAGCAAAACTTAATCAGTTGAGATGGCTGGGACATGTGTTGCGCATGCCCGACCACCGACTGCCCTGACGTGCGATGTTTTCTGGTGTAGGAGTAGGTTAGAAGAAAGGTAGGGGCGGCCAGACCAAAACATGGCACAAATCCATGAAGTCACTGACAAGTGGGCTGACTCATGTTGGTAGGTGTAGACTACTTGGTTGGGGGCCGCGAGATGATAGCAACCGATGGTTAGAGACCTTGAATGACATGGCTCAAAATCGTTTGCAATGGCGCAGGTGCATTCACTTATTGTGTTCTCTCAAACTCTAATCTTCTGTATTCTTCATGTCTTTTATTTTCTTTCCAAATCTATTCCACTGGACTATACTCCTTAAATAACATCATCAAACCCTAATGTTCCCTATCACCACCTCTTCCACTACGGGATTTGAATCGATAACTGAATCTCTGTGCTAAAGTGGTATGACAACTCGAACTGATGTACGTACGTACGAAGTTCCACGTTGTTACTGGCTGACTGACTGAATTGCATTGCATTGCATAATTGAATTTATATCTTGAAATAATAAAACAATATTGTTGACATACTTCAATTGTTTTTACTAAATCTTGATTCTTTTGAGTTTCTTGTTGTAAGTTTTGTTGTACATTTCCATACTAAATGTATAATAAGTTAAATAAAAATAACAAACAAATATAAGACGTAATATTGTTTAAAGTTAAAAATTATGGTATATAAATGAAGAGATAGTAAAGTAAGCTACATAATATGAAAACTATGTACAATAATATTTGTAAGTTAGTGAAGCTATACATGCATCATACATACATCATTAATAATTCTATATTAGTTAAAGAACTAGCGAAAACCACTAAACATTTGTCGACATTACTTAGCTCAATTTATTGCTTAGTAGAAATGTGAACATTCCGATAATTCAGAAGTATTATGAAGAACAGGAATAATCTTGAGAAATTGCCAGAAACTGATTCAGCTCTCTTGAGATATTTTGCAGTTTCAAATCAGTGAGATAATTTATAAAATAAATAAAATGTTAATTTGTTATACAGAGAAGTAGTGTTAGCTGAATCGCTCAGTGGGAAGATTAGTTGCAGTAACAGTTGGTAGCTTGGATTCAAATCGTATGAGTGGTATCAATTTCCTAGAGACCGACAATACGGGCTGCTGCAAGGTTTCAGACAGCAGAGGACTTAGAAAAAGATCTCCCGGCCTATTGTCTCTAGTCAAATAACATCAAATAAACTGCCCAGAAAAATCGACTCACTTAGATCAATGACTATACCTTTATTTCATATATCAGGAATTCGATTAGCAATAGGGACTATGAAGTATGAAATTGGTTACTAACCAATGCTTAGTTAATATAGATCACAATCACAAACCAAACAGGATGCTTAAAGAACAGTCGTTGAAGTTGTTATGAAAAAAGGTTATCTAAGCTAAAGAACAGAAAGTTGAATTGGAATATATTGAGCTGACTGGTAAATTAGTAAAAGAAATTGATTATCACTATATATACGAGGCTTTTTCTAAAGATTTTGATGAAAGTGTACATTTTTACTACATCGTTCGCAAAAAAAGGAAATAGCAAGCAATAGAAATGTTATCAGTAATATCTCGAGGTGAAGTTTACAATTATGTATGTTGTTTTATGCTAGTACTTTTTATAAACTTATATAATAAAATCGTTTCTAAAATACACTCACTATAACACGATATATTTATACAGAAAATCTAAGATGATGAATACACAAAAAGTATATCATCCTCCTGTGTCTTATCACTCAAACGCTACTAAAAAAGTATTTAATCATTCAATTACAAGTATTCAGCAACATGGTATACATTTGACTCTTTACGTTATAAGTTAACTTGAATGAATATCAAAACTTGTATGTCAGTGGATTTGAAGAAGTGATCAACATATTCCAATGGGAAAATTCATTATTTTATATAAGTATGTATGTTGATCGTGGCGCCGATTGTAAGACATTTTTAAATTAAACTAAAAGACTAAGTCTCAGGCACCTAAATTTACAAAATATTTTCGGTGATAGTTATCCAATGTAACATGAATAATTATTAAAGTGTAGTTCGTAAATATTAGACGAATCAATCACTTTGTTTATGATATACTGATAAATTCACATAAATTGAACACTATCCAATAAAAGTGTACATAGCTGACTGAACAAGGGAAAAAGCTATCCAGCATTAAAATTGTCTCTACTTGTTCAAAATTATCTTTGTAGTAGTAGTGCTCATATTTAGAGGTGAAAGAGTGAAGCTAAAACATGATAAGGAACAGCACATCCTGATAAAATCAAACATTAGTCTTCATTAAACGATGTTGCATTATCATATTTGGTCGCTCTAATTTATCCTAATGATATTATTTAAATGCCTTACACGAAACTTCCATTAATTATATCGATCCAATATAGAAAATCTGCTATGATGATCAAGTTACATTCTGTTAATATTTAATGAAACATCCCCTCATTCTAGGTAGTGGAGTTTATGATGATCAAGCAATTTCAATTAGCTTAAAAGTTAGTAAAATTCTTTCATGATGTGGGTTAATGTTATTTTGTATGTATCACGTTAATAATTTTTTTAGATAAATCCATGTTCCTATTTTTCAGTCGATCAATTCCATCTATAATCGAGACAAATAAAAACAAAACACATAAAGTCATAAAACTTTATTGTAAGTATCATATGTGCTCAGGAATCTGTATGCTCATTACAAAGAACTAACAATAATATTTGTATTGCTTTTCAATAAAAGATATTACCTTTAACAAGTGCTATAATGAAGATTCGCAATTAGACAAAATTTTATTATTTTTTAAAATTTAATAAGGATATTCGTGCAAATATAAACAAATTTTTGATAGCTCAATGTGTAACAAGATTATTGCTGTAATGAGAAAAAAAATCATTGCTAAACAGTTTGTGTTGATTCTATGATAAATAAAGTATATATATATATATATATATATATATATATATATATATATATATATATATATATATATATATATATATATATATATATATATATATATAGGGATTTGAACAAGAAAAATAGATATCTAAAAAGCATTTACATTTGCAAAAATTTCAGTGACTAGAATTTTAACAATTAGAATCTCATTCTTTTACTCAGCACACGAATTTTGTAAAAAAGAGTGTTTTCTAGTCCTGGTTTTAGACTCTTTAAAATCGTGTACCAAGATTCCACAAGAAATCTGGAACTTGACCTTGAAATCTTTATTTCAACCTAAAGCTTCTCAACTGCAGATAATAGTCGTAAAGCACAATACTCATTCAACTTCAATAATGAATCACTATCTTTTAATTATTACCTATCAGATCACATAGATCACAGTTTTCCATTGAAACTTCAAGCAATCCATCCCTAGTAGGCACATGCAATTATAATTTACTAATGTTTTGTCATTCATCGAATATTTATACATCCAGTGAATGGAAGTTAATATGCAATATACAAAAAGAAACGTGATAAACATACATTTTTTAATAGAACAACGTGTTCTTCACGTAGTTTAGTATAGACTTCTTTTAATTTTAGAAATTTCTCTTCAAACACTTGAGCTTGACAAACTTTTTCAGTCAATTTAGTCTCATAGTTCACTTGTTGCTACAAAAAAAGACGTAGAAAAGAAGCAAAAAAAACTATACTGAAATGAGATTATCAAAAAATATTTATAATAAACTAATTTAATGTATACGAGAAAATTTCAATGAAATCCATGTTTAATAATGACTGAGTAACTTGGTTATAATTAACAAAATAATTTTTAAAAATCAATAATATTTACAACAATCATCATAATTTTACGATACAACTCAATAACTAAATACAGACTGATGTAATTGATTTTGAGATCAAATATTTTATGTGATAAAGTGTTAATATTACTTAGATCTTTAAACCAAGATAGATGAGATGAGGTTCAAATGTGCAACTTAATTTCTAAAATGTTCAATACCTTAGTTACCATGATAAGATCGAATGCAATTTCAGTTATGTTAATAGATACTTTTTTAAATGATAACTAATACGTATTGTCCATGTCGATAGAGTCAAATATTATTTTTTGGAATATTTCTGACCGAAACTGTCAAAATTTAAATTATTTTTCATATGTATACGGTTAACAGATACTTTTTAGATTTGACTAGTACATTGTCTAGTTTAATTGATTGTTGAGGAATGTTCTAGGAGTATAGGATTGTTTTCAATCAATTTCGGTTAGAAAACTAAACATCAGTATAAAAAAGAGTAAATGTACGTATTTATATACATAAACAGACGTGAAATGATACAAAAGTTTACAAATAGATGCATAGGTTCAGGCTATTTCACTCTACCGAATAACAAAAATAGAAAGAAGATATAAATGAAAAAAAGGAGCAAAATTAAAAGGATGAGAAGTACAAGGAAGGTAATAGGAGTTACAATAAAAAAATAAATATGAGAAACATTAAATGAAATCATGAGTCAATTAAAGCTAGACCGTCATGGAAAACCTGGAAGCACTGGACGGCCGTTTCGTCCTAGTATGGGACTCTTCAGCGTTCGAGCAATCGCGCGGGATCGTGGATGCGAACTGCTGAGGAGTCCCATACTATGACGAAACGGCCTTCCAGTGCTTCCAGGTTTTTCATGGTGGTCTAGCTTCCATTGACTCATGATTTCAACTACTGAAATTATTAAAATCTTCACAAAACCCCTTCTGATAAGAAACATTACTCAAAAAATGCATGAGATCGAAAAAACGAAAGTACACAATAACGCAAAGCCCAAGTACGAAATGAGAGTATCGAATGAATACAGCTATATTTGTAAAGATATTGAACCCACTCATCGGTCTCCAAATTATGACTGTGATTATCTCGTCAATAAAAAAAGTTTAAAAAATCTTAATGTGAGTCAAACAAGCAGTTGGTGATCTTACGAAATGATGTTGTGCCGTGATCATCATTCTTTTCCAGCTTTTGTTTAACTTACTTCTATGATAGCCGACACTTTGTGTTGGCGTGTGTAGTAAGTAATGATGTCTAACACTTATCCACATTATCTCAATCAATAAAGGTTTATAGTCTCATCAATCTATATCCTGTATTTAGCTTATAACCTACTTCTACTCTCTGAAATATTCTTTAGTATTTATTGTCTGTGGTGTTAGTATTCTCATACAAAATTTTACTTTTGAAATTTTAGCATTACATGCGAATTCAGTAGATTGGCATTCTCATTCAGAATCAAACTATAATATAGTTTTAATATTGCTTTATTTTTAAGTAACATATTAATAAACACACATAGGACACATAATTGACTTTGATGGTAGTCACGACATTTCAACGGTTCAATTAACTTTGTTATATAGTTCAGCTAATAATGTTGAATGTATCTTTTTATTATAATATCATGTTAACTTTAAATTATTTTACCATAACAATAAGAAATCCGTTTAGTAATATAAACAATTGTAGAGGTTATTTGAAGCGGTAACAGAAAGTAACCATAGCCGTTACTTTTAAAAACGTTTAAATCCTTCAATCTAAAATTAAGCATCTCACAAAACATAGACAATCCAATCAGGTATGCCTAATTCAATATTTGGTGATAAAGTATATTTTAAAATTTGTTACACTACTATACTTTGTTCTTTAATAGTTCATTTAGCGATAAATACTGTAGTAAATTTTTATATATTATGAAATGAGCACAGCTTGCATTGATTTTATAGGGGATCGGTAGCTCGGAAATTCATAACCAATCCTAAGTATCTATCATTGAAAAAGGAAACGTTAAAAATTTGAAGGGAATAAAAGTTGTTTCCGAGATATTTCATAATTTCTTGATGAATATTGTACAGTACTGAAAATTTCATATGAAGAGTTTCATGTCCACTACCACCTCCAACTGTCCATATACTATCAGATTTCTAATTCAATTCGTATTCGAAATGATGAGTACTTCACAGAACATCAGACAAATATTTTTTAGTATTCATATCATACATCTTTTACACAATAGAACTAATTCAATCCATTTTATGGTGTGTTTTTTATTAACTGAATAAAATACTTCTATTATTTCACGGTCAAAATGATTACTTTAGAGAAAAATTAGTTTCTATATCTTAGACCCTCCAGCATGTCTGCTGGATGTATGCAAAAGTAACGTATTGAAATGAAAAATATCATAAAGTTAATTATCCCAAACACCTACAAAGTTGTTTCAATTGTCAAGTAAAAAGTCCAACGGCCAGTCATGAGCAACGTGGGACTTGGAGCACATAAATACTGGTCCATGTTACCGCATCAGATATCAGCATAGAAAGATGTAACTGTTAAGATGAATTCCATAGTAATAGAAGTAGTAATGAAAATGTATCGGGGATAGTGCAATAAACTAGAACACAGGCAGAGATAACCAATGGTACTTTAGCACAAAATTACAGAATGTCTTGGTAAAATATGAAAACCATGCGCTAAATACTCCATTTGAAAATTTCCACAATTTATCCTTCTCATTCTGTATGATTCTTCCTATTAGTAATTTCTTTCTATTTGCATTTCTATTCTCTTCAACTTGATCTTCTTAGCCTTTTGTTACCAGGTTTTCCACTTTCGACTGGTATTACATACTACTTATGCCGACAGACATAGGTAGCATATACCACATTAGCAAAAAGATTAATTTTAAAAAAATTGACTCAAGAGGAAATAATTAATTCCAAGAATGAAAGATGCAAAATAATTTTGAAATTCAGAGTGTAATAAAAAGACAACAATAAAAGTAAGGTAAATGGAAATGCAAACCATTAACAGAGTTCAACTATACAATTTTGTAATTGACCATGTGACAAGTTAGTTGACAAGTGAAAACGATAACCACTGTTTCATAAAAGCAACCACAAGTGATCCGAGTAAGCTGGGGAGGTGTGAACTTTCTGAATGAGATATTTGGGATAATGAAAGTCATTGTTAACAAACTTATGATTTCATATAGCGAAATAGACCATAATGATAGAGATGCATCCGCGATTTTTCTTTTCTTTACGTCTTGAATACTTTATATTTATCTCTTACTACATACACGTCTGTTTTATTCATAATGATTTTTCCACTTATACTATTTTTTTCTTACTGTACTGTTGTACAGAGAAATGACAGTAATCAATGAACTTTTGTTAGATTCTATATAGTTAATAATAATAATATATTTTGAAAATAATAATTACAGAATTCACGCCAGTTTACAGGCATGATAATCTCCGTCATCTTATTACATTATCGAAATTGGATATAAATAGAAACATTGGGTGTAGAGAACAAGCATGTGATAGAAGAAAGTTTTAAGTATACTAGTTCTATGTTTATCTAGTTTACTAAGTAAAAGTCTCATGGTAAGACAAATAGATGCTTTTGATATACAGATCCTGATACATACATACCTAACCGGTTATTAGGTTTACACTAAATATTTGTGAATTCATTTCAAAACTAGTCATTAATAGAAACTTAGCTATTCCTAGGAAAGCGAGTTTGTGAATATTGTTGAATTTCAGAGTAATTTTCATAACGAATCATGATTAATTGTAAAGCGAATGAAAACCAGGTAGTACAAAGCATCTTTTATGTTTCTTAGTCAATAATCTTAATACACCTTCTTTCTTAATGAATCTCGTTAACAACTGGCTAATCCAAACTTTAATAGAAAATAACGACGTACTTCTACTACTGATACTACCAATGATACTAAGAATAATAATAAACAGTTAGACATTGAACTTAAAAAAATGATGTATATTATTTCAGCTCTTCCCAAAACATAAAATGGCACCAGAAAAGTAGTAGAAAGCTGGATAGTAAACAAACAATAAGCAATTACACACATAGACACAAGTAAACAAACAGATGAATAGAAAGAACAAATGAAAATTTTGTTTAAAAATGGGAGAATAAATAAGAAATTTCTTCTTTAGAAGACTAAGAAGAAAAATCTTTGAATGAATTGATGCAGAAAAAAATAAGAAAGGTAAATTAATCAATTTTTGTTTTCCAACTACCCTACACAATGAAATTTACGCACTGAAATTTTGTAGAAATTGTATTCTTAAGCTAGATGGTCTGATTATTAAGTTTTTATTGCCTTTTTAGACAACACTTCATAGTTAGACCACCCAGCACAGATAATCCAATTTCAACAGTATCATCCTCGTAAACTAAAAATATTCACCAATATCTCAACACAATAAAATACTTTATGCTGCAGAGCATCAGGGAAAATGATTGATTCTACAAACCATCCGGTTAAATAGAGATCTCATCTTCCTTTTATCAATTTATTTTGGAAGAACTGATAACTGTTGGAAATTGTCTATTAAGTAATTGATATCTACAAGTATTTATTGATAAATGTAAGAAAACTAAGAACAACAAAGTAGCTACAGTAGTTAAAATACCCATTAAGGACAAATAGTACAAGACTTAACATTGCACCAATGAGAAATTAATCTGAATCCAAACCAATAATCCTGTATAAAATAAAATATCTATTAACTCAATCAAAGGACACCAGATGCAGCCATTTTTGCATAGACATCGGTATAGCTGCCAAACAAGTTAAATTACCAAATGGAAAAGAATGGACTACCCTTGATTCCTCTAGAAATGCTCCCTAGACCCTTCGTTTAAGGGGAATACAGACATTGAATATCGCAATTTGTATACATAATTTGGAAAGATAAAAACAAGTAAGCACCATGGAATTTTTACTGAGCCTATTGCCACTAAGCATCGGAAAGCTGATCTGTGTTAAAAAGGAAATGTTTGTCAATCATTTTTGTCTTTGAAATTGTTAATTTATCGGTGTTTTTCAACTCATCTACTCATTTGATTAGTTCGTTATGTCATTTCTTCAACTCTCTTCTAGTTTAATAATTTTATCGCCAAATAATTAGGCTTTATTAATTTTAATCTTCCCTATTGTTAGCGTTTGTTTCTTACGTGACCATTTATTTCTAAATTTTTTGTCTTTTGCTATTATTAATGTTCCAGAATTTATATCTATCAGTTGTTTGAATCTTCCCAATAATGTTTGAGACTGCAATTGATCAGTCTCTTTTAGCACATGTGGATCTTATGCTTCTATGTTTTGATCTTACCACTAATCTCAACTTTAAAATGCTTGTGATTTAGTGACAATAACGAGGCAATCCGCACAGGATTCACATATGCTAAATGAGACTGATCAGTTTCAGTCCTAAAAATTAATAGAAGGGTTTGACCAATCAGTTCATATAAATTAAAATTCACCCATCATACAAGCTAGTGACTATCTGGACTTGCTAGCTAAATGGATAACACGATGGCATTTGAAGTGAATGATAACGGGTTCAAGTTTCGTAGTGAACATCAACTCTGGGATGCAGGTACATACAGCTGACGAGTCTGACATAGAAAGAAACGCGGATCCTGAATTCCAACCCTGGCCATCATGTATATCTGTTTAAAAATGTTCCAGGATGTTCTTCTACACATGATCTATGTTTAACATGCTTTATTCAATAACAGATCATTAAATATTTGATTTATTTTCAGTATATTTAGATAAGAATATACAAATGGAAGACTATACAAGAGGACACATCTTAAACTTTTAATAAATCAAGTGACCAATATATATATATATATATATATATATATATATATATATATAATATTTCAGAAAAAAATCAATTCAATATTTCATAAAAAGAAGCATTTATTCCCTTTAGAGTTGATTTTAGATTTTCTATGGCAAAATTTTGATTCAGATACAAATTTTGAGAAAATTCACTGCTTTTTTATGTGTATAACCTTGATTAAAAATTGGTCAGATGATGTTATTTTTATGTATACAATAAAATGCATGCGTTAATTCTTCAATTTGACAGTTAGAAATAATCAATAATACAAAGAGATCTAACGTTCAATTTCGAATTTAGACATATTTTGATAATCAGATGAACATATTTCATCGCCATGGATAGAGATTTGTAACACATGTAGACTTTAATGGATCCTATGCAAGATAAGATTATAAGAATAACTGGACGATTAGGAATCACCATTTAATGCTTATCAAAGTCTATTAATCAGATAGTATAATTTATTGTACAATTATAAAATCTTCAAGTAATTAACAAGGGTGAAAACACAAATTTAGTAGTCGAAATTAACCAACACTGACTTCAGGTTTGAACCATTTCAAACAATTTAAACCCGATAGTTGATATTAGAGATAATCGTAATTGGTGATTGAAGTAATTAGAAGATATGGGAAAGGATGGGTTGTAGTAGAGTAGTTACATTCTTATCTAATCTTCAACAAAATCTTCGGTTTTTATTTTAATTCGCAGCATTCATTGACCGTTGTCACTCATTTTTATTACTCGTGGGGAAATTGGTGCGGGGGCTTCTTAGCACTGTACACCCATGACTCTGCCAGGTATAGAGCGCGCGACCATCAAATCTCTTATCGAATGGCCTACGTTTATATCAGTGAATCGGTAATCAATGATCTAAATAACGTACTCTAGTTTATTCAGAGGCATTCATCTATTGCCTTTAGTGATGACTGTCTCACTTTAAACACGGCTGTAGTCCACTGCTGATGACTTCTAAACAGAAATTCGGGAATTATTATTAAAGTTAGTTATTAATAAGCAACTGAATACTATTATTTCGATGAGAGACCTAATATTATTTGATTTGAAGATACCTTACAACACAAAGCGGTACCAGATCGATAACCACAGGAAACCAAAAGTGTTATTTAGGCAAAGTTAATCTATGGTGTGAATAATCTTTGAATAAAACACGATTTCCACAAACGTTTAATTGATATAGTATATTTCCCAAAATATTTACCTCTTCATGATTAGACTTATATTGTACAAGTTCTTTGATTTCATCTTCTAATATTCGTATACGATTCAAAAGCGAATAAGATTGTTCATGATGCTGAACGAAAACATGAAGAAGTAGAGAGGAGATGTAAATAATCCAACATTCATATCTAAAGGATTTTCTTACCAAAAAAATACTATGAAAACATTCAACATGAGAAAAAAATTATTGAATGAACCGTAACAACGAAGTAGTAAAAAATGTTTTGTTCGATAATTTTTGAACTTTTAAAGCACTGGTCATTCAAGGTCAGAATGTACAAAAATCGCTGCTAACAAACTGATCCCAATTCACCTACCACTGAAAAACAGTAAGCATCGGAAATGTTTTGTTCTCGTATGGGAATGCTCACCAGTTTATACTCATGACTCCACCAGAAATCGAACCGATGACCTTCAGACATGTCAAGAGTGAAATAGTCTTCAGTGTCGTTGGATAATCGTCGCCCTCTATATAAATATATATATACTCTTACATCATTTATTTTAGTCAAGTAAAGCGGAAAAAACATGGTTTTGATTACAGATTTTCTACTATACAATTATTACACACAGAAATGACAGTTCATCGTATTTATCTTTAAAAAAAAGTAACCATAACGGCACTGACGAGCACTGAATGTTTTCAGTAGTTCCTTACTCTTTAAATAACCTACAGTATATTTTTCAGCTAAATTGTCGTGATTACAGATCAAATGATTAATGTACAACTACCTTTCTTCAACTGGTCACTTTCAAAATCATTTAAGAATGATAAAATTCCATAGTCCAACATTATAGCTTTTAGAGAAGTTTTAACAAATCAATGTATAAATGTTGCTTACTTCTGCTTTCAATCTTTCTATTTCAGACTTCAACAACTCCACTTCAATGAGTATTTCATGTCTAAAAACAAATTTTTATCGGGAAAACAATGAATTACTACCGTTTTAAATTAATCGTTGGAAAAAAAATATAGAAATTTGTGTATATTTACTTTCCATATCAGATAAAGTCATGAATAATAATAAAGGGAACAACAAAAGCATCAAGTATTTTGATATCTGAAAAAGATGATTATTTATTCAAATGTGAAAAAATACGCAATCAGATATTGAAACGGTGTTTCACTTCATTCCAAAGTTATATATATATATATATATATCGTGTTGAGCTGGTTGACAGGGTTGAAAATGTTACAACAGTGACATCATTAAGTTAAAACAAACGTTTTTGTAACTTTGAGTAGTTTATGCAATCATCTATGAACTTTGTAATTATAATAGCAAGGTTAATATGTAATGTTATTTAGCATTCGTTTATAATACATTAAATATGGAATTGAATCACATCATAATGTCTATTTATTCATATTAGACCTCCAGTGTACAACGTGTGGTTTTTGGATTCCTTATGAAGCATTGCTGACAAATGAATTATAAGATGGAGAGTGATGGCGAATCAAATTAGGATGCACAAACTCATGGAGTTGTCGTTTAACAATTTAATCTCTCATAATAATCTCATCAACTAAAGTTTTGACAGTAATGCAATCATATACTGATTTTCATACAAATACTTATGACTTAAACTATTGCATTTAATTACTCAATTGCATTCCGTATGACTTAATAATCATTAAATTATTCGTTTTCGCAAGGAAAATTCAGTTTAAAATTTGATAAACACAATGTATCAACATGAAAATAAACTTCAAACTGAATTGTTAAATTGACTCAATATATCGGAAAATATACGCATATCTATATAGATAGATCATTAGACTTTAAAGTGACTGTACCAATTAATTTTAGATCAAAGTTATAAAAAAAATAATTTGTTTATCAAAGAATAATAGTTGAATTACGGTCAATCAATATAAACAATTGAAATACTAATCTTAAAAATTCAATTACAGTTTAGATATTTATCAATACAGCTTTGTATTTACTATACAGTATTAAGTGACAAAAATAACGAAATATTAATATGTACCGTAGATCAGTAGAACGGTGTTTTAAAATAGTTTAGAAGATTAATGAAAAATTAAAATATACAATAAAACTACCGAAAAGACGTAAACATAAAAATATAATTAAGTAGATGATAAGATAGTACATAATGTCTCTTAAACCTCTCCTGTATACAATACACCACTAATGATTACTAGTGAACTGATGTAAAAAGTAGTTATCGACATAAAATAAGTAAGAATACTAGATATATCCATAGAGAGAAAGGTAGGAGTACAAGTGAACAAGAATGTTCCAGATTAATAATACTATTTAAGCTTGTATCAATTTATTACGGTTATTTATTTACTCTGAATAAGTGGCTTACATTGTCACGAAATGTCAGAAATACAATTTTTCTACTCATTGGTACATAACAAAAAATATATTTATTATTAACTTTCTACCAAATGCTCAATTTATTTAAAACTATCAAGTCCAATCTTGTCATTGTTACCTATAATATTTCAGATTATTCTCACCGATAGTATTATGATAAAATCTTGATTTAATGAAAAGAAAAAGACAACTAACTTTACACACTATTTGTTCGAAAAGATATAAGAGAAGACTTTCAATGCTGCATATATATATATATATATATATATATATATATAAACGTATATAATAATTACTTAATTGAACAACGGTAACATAATTGTTGACAAACAAGCAATCTTATTTACGGAATTTACAATTCTGTTACGATGACGGAAATTCATATATTTTATTTATGTTCAGATGATAATCATCTTAAGTAAAGTGGAATAAACTCATGCTACCATAATTATTAGTTTATATAATGAAACATGATTAAGACTTTGGCTTATATAAGGTATGAAGAACTGAAAAATTGTAGACTAATAAAAATTGATTATTAAATAGATTGCGTTTGAGGAAAGTTTTTATATATTCCAAAGGTAAATTTCATGGTAAACTGATGTCAGATGAATGATGAGTAAAACTAGAGAGTACTGAGCAATCTTTCCGTTCTAGTTTAAAACTATACAACAATGCCCACACCTATGATCAATTTAAGATCTTCAAATTCCTTCAATGGTCACAATATATTTAGCATATTGAATCAGGATCCAATGGAACCAACTTTCAGTTACAACCAATTTTCGACACATAGCGATTCTCATTCACTGTTGACTTAATTTCTTTTCCAAACCTTGGATAACTCCACAGAATACAAAGATAGTAGTATCACATGTCGGGAAAAAAAGTGATAATGTAAACATGAAAAAGTAAATCATTATGAAAACCCGGTCCAATCTAGCGATTTATTCATTGCAAGACGAAAAGAACCAGTTATCATTAGTAGATAATGCATCCTTACTTTATTGAAATTTTTGGATTGAGCCTATTACATGAAATGACAAGAGAGTTTAATTTGGATTAATTTATTCGAAATCACAGTAATGAAATATTTTGGATTAGATATATATTTCATATTATCAAATGAATTGTCAATATAGTACATGAAAACAACATGTGATCTAAATTATTATTTTAATTAAACAATGATAATCTATATACTAAATTAAATATGCTTCTTAAAAGTGTATATATGTTAATGATTGTTTTCAAATCAACGATAACATAAAATAAGTCATGCAATATCGAACTTCAATGGCAGTTAAAAATCAGGACTACTTCACATTTATTTCCAAATATTCAGTCAGATATAGAAAATGATCAAAACTAAGTTGTTTGATTTGATTACATATCCGAATAAAACAGTGGGATTAAAGTGTCCGTGTAACAAAAAATATGTAGATAAAATATACAGAATGAACTAAGTACAATCAATTATTATTTTAGTGTTACAAAAAGGATGGAAAAATATTTTCCCAAAACCAAACGATAAATGTTTTCTATAATTCTACTATTAATAACCGTAGAGAATAGATGTATTTAAAGTTATTAAGTGCCAAATATTGAGTGCAAACTAGATCATTCAATTGCCAATCATTTATTGCCATTTTGGACAACATCAATCTATATTAAGAACAGAAATCCTTATCATTTAGATCATTCAACTAAGGAAATGCAATACTACCGAAAGTAACTTTACTTCTTTTATTTAAATTATTCTCTTAGAAAATAACCTTGAACCCTAAGAATAAATAGTTGAACTTAACAAATAAAGAAATTATTGAGTACAATATTATTGAAATGAAATCCTTCAAGAGTAGTGAGTATTAATCACTGAATATTGTATACAATATGAGAAAAGGATATTAAGAAATTGGAATTAGTTAACTCAATCCTAATCTAATTAAAGGAGGTTAAGTAAAGCAAACTGTTTATAAATTCTGATGCATATACACTTATCAGTGCTTCCAGGTTTTCCATGGTGGTCTGGCTTCAACTGACTCATGATCTTAATCATTGAAATTACTACAATCTCCACAAAACCCCTTCTGATACTTATCAATTTGATGAATAGTGAAACTATATGGTGGATAAAGAAAATTCGACTAATATTTGTTAACCCTTAAAAATTTTCCATATAAGTAAAAACATGTAGTTTGATTATGAATACACTTTTATTATGAAGTCAATTAAATGCTCATTATGAATATACGACTGATATCCAACAGGAACACTTAGCTTGATATCAGTAACCTAAAGAAATCGATTTATTAGTAAACTTATATTGAATATTATTTAGGGTAATATTCTGTTTATTTTTATCAAGTGAACACCTTATAAGTCTTTAATAACTATACTACATAAAGAAATCAAAGTATTTGATTTCAATTGATTCAAAATCTGGTGGAAAGTCATGAAACTATTACCTAATAAATAAATCGTTAGAAATGTAAACAATTTGTAGGAATATGGATAATAATGGGAATTATTCACCATAGATTGTTATCAATACAATTCAAGGTTATTTGTCAAGGTCAGATTTTAGATTTAATCCAACATTTTCATCGGTGCTTTTTTAAATCATTTTATTTGAGTAAATGTTCTTTAGTTGTCAAGATAAATGAGTTTATATAGCGACGATTTTTCTTGTGAAAAATAAGCTTAAAACGTTGATTAGTCCTTAATAAATACAAGATTGCACGATTTCGGTTTTTTGTTTTTTAGCATCATCAAATGACATGATTTTTAAAAGTACGTTACTGTACCTGGTACCAAGTAATTTACTATTCCTCAAAATGACTGGTACAAAGATCTATTTCTATACATGGTTCTCGATTAATTATTATTGAGTGTGTAAATATTCCTTCATTGCTACTGACTTAATCGGTTTTGATGTACAGTAGTGGTACACAAAAAATATCCCAGTGATGAAGCATGTGTATATTTTAACTTAACACACAGTCAAAAATATTCCAAAAACTCTGATAGCTATCAACAGTTAAAATCTTCAACATGACACAGTGGTCTTAAAAGTTAACATATACTGATTAATCGTTGTCGTTACGATTGAGCAATGAACTGTAAATACTGATCATTTAAGGACCTACAGACAATACATGACATCTAAATACGCTAAGACTATTTTATTGACCTAAAATCATCGATTTTTCCATATACCTTCTAAATAAGAAAATAGTGAAAAAAATTCCTTGTTGGAAAATAATTCAAGCATGTTTAGTGAAACATTAACAAATCCGTATCACAATATTTTGAGATAATTTCGTAGTTTAGTATAAAACAAGAATGGAAATCTAACATAATGTAGCACTTGGAAACAACTAGAAAGGAGAGCCCATAATATAGTTGGTTGAAGAAACATGATCGACGGTTTATGCTCCCTCTAAGGGTAACAGGAGTACGTAAGTTAGTAATCTGATCGTGGCCTTTGAAACACCAAACAAACAACTTCTGAAGATTCGATACAAACCCAACACTTCAACCATATTCGAGTAT